CAAACAGTTTCCCTAGTCCAGGCAGGCATGTTGGCTCGTCATCATCTTCTACATCAGTCTCAGGAACACACGTTATCTCGTCTTCGTCAGAATCAATCGGGATCACCTCTTTTTCAAGGTCTCCTTGTTTCTCACTTGATTCCTGGGGAGGAGTTGGTGAACTTCCTAGCCTCCTAATACTGGATGATGATGTCTCTCCCAACAGAGAGCTACTGCAACTCGGGACTTCTTCTTGAGTATTCGCCTCTAATGAGTCCTCCGGATCTTGGAAGTTCATCTGCAGGGAACCATATTTGATGTTGGCTTTACTAGCCATAAGATAATCTGTCCCCAAAATCCCATCCTGGCCAATCTCTGCAATTGTGATGTCGAGGGGAGTGATTCTTCCATCCAAATCTACCTCAAGTTCACATGATCCATATGATGCTAGTGGAGAGCCATCTGCTTGAAGCAACACATCTTTTGCTGATTTCAACTTTGGTCTATCTCTGTAGTAAATCCGATTGAAGCTATGCAAACTCATGAGAGAAACTACAGCTCCGGTATCTATCAAGAATTCCATAGTTACTCCACAGATTTTCACCATGGCCACTACCTTTCCAACATTATCAGCTCTCTCGGGGTTTGTGACTTCTTGACCACTTCGATCGAGGAAATGAACTGGGTTGACTGTTGAGCTACTATTATCCCTCTCTCTTTTTTTCTTGGGTCTCCGGCACTCAACTGCCATGTGTCCTGCCTCAGAGCAGTTGAAGCAGATAATCAAGGGACATCTCCTCACTGTATGCCCTTCTTCTCCACATTTCCTACAGATGAAGGGTTCTCTCTTCTCTTTGGAGGTCTTTGCAGCGCCCACAATCTCTTTCTTCATTCCCTCCTGGGACTCCTTCATCCCCTTGATCTCTTGATATATTCCTTCCATTAACTTAAGGAGTTTGTCTTCTTGAGAGTCATTCGTCACAGCTGCAATGTGGTGATCCCGCTGTCTTGGCTTCAGGCCTTTCCGGATTCGCTCTGACTCCAAGTATGCCTCCTCCTTCTGAGCCTCTTCTATGGCCTGGTCAAGAGACTTGGGGTCTCTCCGATGGACAGCTGCTCGCACCTCATCATCTGTTATGGCATTCTCATAACATTTCCTCGCCAACCTATCCTGAGAAGAGCGAGGCATCTCGGGATATGCAAGAGCAGCTAGTCTCCTTATGCTCTGGCCAAGACTCTGTAAGGACTCCTTGGGCTTCCTCGTCCTGGTGTTTAGTTCAGCTTCATACATTGAAGCTTTTTCACCTGGTCCAAATCTTTTAGTTAGTGCTTCGATCAGCTCATCATAGGAGTGGCCTTGCTCCAGCTCTTGCACTATCTGCTGGGCATCTCCTCTCAACTGGTTTGTCAACTGTTGCCGCTTCTCCTCATCACTCCATCCATTACTGTCAATGCAGTTCTGGAAATACACCTTGTAATCGAGCCATGGTGTCTTCCCATCAAACAACTGGTTAGGCTTTATCTTCGTCTTTTTCTCAAAGTTCGATGAGCCCAGTGCTTTCACCAGCTGCTCAGTGTTGGCCTTACACATATTCACGACCTGTTCTGTATTTGACTTACACATCTCCATAGCCTCTCCAGCAATCTGTAATGTTCTATTAATCTCTTCAGTTGCAGTGTCTCGAGACTTCCAAGCCAGTTTACCAGGCACCTCTTCCGATGTATTAGGCACTGCGATATTTGGAGCTGGTCTCTTTGTGGGCGTGCCCATTGGTTGAGTTCCAGATCTCTCTGCAGGTGTGAAACCTCGATCCTGCCTTCTCAAACTCCATGGTTTGAGCTCTGGGATTTCCTCCATGGGAACCTCACGAGAATTAGTCACAGGAAAACTCCTAAACACTCTTTGACTCATCTCTTGGTCATAAACAGGCATGGGGCGAGAGGAGGGCTGCTGTAGATTCTCTACCCACTCTGCAGTGTCTGATACCTTGTACTTCTCTGGGATCTTCATCTCTAGAAAAGGAGCTTGACTCCTTGGATCCTCAGCTTCTGCCCACTGGTTTTGCTGCCGGATTTCTCTATCTGGTATCTCTTGTCGAAGTGGAGGGGGCCTTTCCTCTCTCCGGGGCTGCATAGGTCCTTGTGAGCGAGTTGGACTCCTCTTAGCTGCAGGCCTTAGTAACTTGTCCTCCCATCTGGCCATAGATGATTGAGGATTCTCTTCTCGAGTAATTAAACTCAACCTCCTTGAAGTCTCTCCCAGCAGTTTCTCAGGAGCACCTTCACTCAACATGTCTGCCTCAGTCTCTTTCTCCCTCAAGTCTGTGTGACTCTTCATCGACCTTCTACGTGGAGTTGAGCATCGAGAGGAAGCAATTGAAGGTAGTAAGTTCACCAGTGTTTCATGTAATTGTCTCATCTCGAGTTTCATCTCGAGTTTCATCTCTTCCTGGCCTTGACTCATTTTGAGCTTCATCTCATCTTGGGCTTGGAGACTCTGACCCAGACCACCTTTAATACCCAGGACATCCTGCCTCAGGGACTCCACATCTTGTCCCACCTTTGAAAGTTCCAGCTGCGTCTTCTTTAGAGAATCATCTCTTGATGTGGGCTTCTTGGTCATTCCATGATCACTTTTGATCTCTGTGGAAGTAACAGGGAAGGGCTGGTCCTGTCTGCCTAGTACTCCAGGAGTACGAAACTTGGAGGGAGTGAACTCACTCTGCATCCTGGACTGCATCCTGGACTCTGACCAATACCCAGTACTGTCTTGGGCCACTCTCTGCCCTGGTCTCTGTTCAGGTACATGCAAATATCTCTCTGTACCACCCATGGCACCATACTTCTCTGGATTCAGACCCGAGTCCCTTGACTCCAATGGAAGAGTGTCTTGGGCCTCCAGCTCCAGGTTCCTTGGGGCACCTTTAAACAAAACTGTATCATCTGGCTCTGGTTCCCTTCTGGTTATCCCCTTTGGGATGACCCCAGGATAATCTGTCGAGCCACCATGCTCAGAAGTTCGGGGGCTTCTCCCTGCCTCCAACATCTCAATATTCTGCTCCATCTCTGTGCAAAGTGAAGTATCCCACCGCTGCCACCAATGTCGCGCGCCAGACTCCCGCCGAGTACCTGTACTCCCTCGGAGAAGGTCTGGTGGCGATGATAAGGGATTCGGAGGTGTTTCTCACGGGCGCCGAGCTTGTTTGGTGCTTCGGCTGTCACTGAGCTAGGAGATGGAGAACACAGGAATATACAAAACAATCAATTACAGGATTTTTAACAATCTATTCAACACACAATAATCACAATAAATTTCAAAGTGTCCTTTAATAAAGCCTTTATGGCCAATAACTCAAATGCAAATGTCTCTATATATACAAGGGTCCAAAACACTCTGGCTCTGAGTTATCTGTCTCTACTCTAATCTGCAATACTCTGCTTGTCTCTGCTCTGCTATACTCTGATATACTCGGCTCTGCTCTCTGCAATATTTTGCTTGTCTACTCTTCTCTGCTCTGCTTGAAAAGAGCTCTCCCTCTTGAGCTATCTCGTCTTTGGAAAGGAGCCCTGGCTCCAGAAGTAACCTCTGCTTCGGGAGTCGCCTTGTCACGGGAGTAACCACCCTTAAACTCTCCTCAAAAGAGTGCTTTCACTCTTTGAGCTACACTGTCTCTTGGAAGGGGTTCAGGCTCCGAGAGTAACCTCTGCTCTTGGAGTCACCACTTCTCAGGATATACCTCTCTACAACCTCTGCTCAATTCACTCTTGAGCTACACTGTCTCTTGGAAGGGGTCCAGGCTCCGGGAGTATCCTCTGCTCTTGGAGTCGTCACTTCTCAGGAGAAACCTCTGCTCTCCAACGAGATCCACACACTGGGAGTACCTCAGCCCCGGGAATCGCCTCGTCTCAAGAGTAACCTCTGCTCTTGAACGAGATCCACACACTGCTAGTACCTCAGCCCCGGGAATCGCCTCGTCTCAGGAGTAACCTCTACTCAAAGAGTGCTCTCACTCAATGAGCTACACTGTCTCCAAAGAGTAACTTCTGCTCTCGGAGTCACCGCTTCGCAGGAGCAACCTCACTACAACCTCTGTAGAGAATAACAACTCTAGAATGTCGATCAAAGGATGAGATTAGACAGAGCTGTTATCTCTCGCCTTGGAGCACCTCAGTTCCGGTAATGTAACTTTGGCTCCAATGAGAGTAAACCTTCCTCAACATACAACCCTGGGTGAGAGTCAGATCGCCTCGACAAAGTAGGAGCATTTATAGCTTGGAGGGGTAATGACTAGGAGCCACCAATACTCAGAGCAGAATGACTCACGAATATCGATCAAAGAAATGAGATTAGACAGAGCCAAATCTACTCAGAGAATCTGGAGCTCAAAACTTCTCAAAATGACGTCACTTCCTTCAAAATCAAAGATGGCCGACCGCCGGGAATTGTGGGAACAAGAAAGCAAGATGGCGGACAGCTAATTACCCATTTTATGCCAACCACAATCAAGAAAATGGCTAACTCACCAAAACACTGGCTGTTGTCTTGTATTTTCTTCAATAGTCACACCAAATACAATCTGCATCTAACGATTACTGCAACTAATCCAATATATCCAAAATAATGCTCCAATAAGTCCACAGATTAAATAAAACACGCTTGCACATAAATAAATCCAAACTGACGAGGTCTTGTATCTTCAAGATCTTAGTTTACTCTGATTCACGTGGTTAATTACAAACATTAAATCCAGACACCTCAAGTTGCATCATGGGAAAACTACAACTTAAGTTGGAGGGAAATTCAAATAAAAGAATCTTATTGGCTGATCACCGGTTGCTGGGTACTTAATTATTCTAATTTATTCCACTACAGTCTGCTGATCAGTAAACATCCCAGTGCCTACGTGACATTCTACATGTACACATTTGAGCCATTAAACTCTCTGAAAGAGTCGACTGACTCCAAATATAAAAGTTCAAAAATTAAACAAAAAATGAAAACCACAATTTTGTCACAATATATACAGGTCTCTGGTTAGATGATACTTGTAGCTGGTGAGACTGAGGTTGACTTGTCGATCTCCTAGTCACTCTTGAAAACAGTAATCCCAAATCTTTGCGGAACTTCGTACCAGATATACCGTAAATGAAAACATTGGCGGCACAGTTCGTAAACCAAAGCATTAATGTTATACGATTCAACAGCAATCTGCGTGCCTCACCCCAGGCAGTATTCTCCGAGTAGAAGACTTTGTAGATTGCTTCACGGATGTAAAACGGCGAAGTCAGCACAATGAACGCAATGGATCCAGCAAGAAACATGCGTGTTAAGTGTTTGTTTCGGTGAGACATAGAACGCCGTAACCTGTCGCCTACAGTGGTATTAAGCGTCCCTCGCCTCCTCGATTTAGAAAAAGTGTAGATTATCGTTAAGTTCATGACAATCAAAATAACAAATGGCAGAATTGTAATCAATGTCAATGATACCCACGGGTACACATTTGCGAATAAATCGGCCGATGTTAAGGTTTCACAAATCTTCATGCCTATCTTTTTGTTACTGTATAGTTTGAAAGGAACGTTGAACACCATCATGAAGATGAAAATGCCAACAATCAGTTTTCTAGTGCGACATACAGATAAGTAAAGCTTTGCTTTCATCGGCAATGTAACTGCGAAACACCTGCTAAAAGCCATGGCAACAATGATGTATACTGCACATCCATAGCTGATAGCGCCGACATATTTCATCCATTTGCACATAACAGATGAATACTGGGTCTTAAAGGTTTGATAGACCCAGCGCGAGAAGCAAACAACAGCCAACTGGATTGTGTCAAATATCGCCAATGCTCCTAATAGATTTAAAAAGGGGTTATCTCTGTTATGCTTTTGTGACGTCACAGCTACGATGAGAATATTACCTGGGATTCCCAATCCAAGCAGGATTATTGGATAATATAAGTTAATCGCAGTGGCTATTTTGAATTCCATATAAACCGAGGGATCCTCGCCACTTGTATTTGTTAAATTCATTGTTGGTTGCAATTAATTGTATTGTGTTGAAGACGTTGTGTATATATCTACAAATATGTATGGTTACATATGAAAATGATAATGAATACATTTATACAATTTATACTGTAATATGATGCATATGCATATCATTAACTAAAGAACGATTGATATCAAAATAGTTAACGTTGTTTATTTTTTTATTTATATCCAGATATTACGTTCTATATCATTCTCTATCACATTCTGTTCACCTTATTAAAATAGAGGAATTATACATGAAATCGGAATAAATCATGAAAACAAAAGTTAATTTTCAATTACTCACATGTTGACGTCTGGAGCGTACGCTTCTCTCTAAGGAAATGATTATCATACAAATGATATAATTGTTTCAAGAATATGTACTTCTATATTGTAATATTAAATGAGAAATCTAGAGTTTCAAAGCCCTGAGCTTTTCGTGAAGCCGTTTCTAATGACACCCGTCGAGTTCATATCTGCAATACAATTTTAGACCAGACCATTTTTTACCCTTCTTCTTGGACGTCGATACGCGTCATTTTTGTTCAAGTCATGGGTAAATGTCCCAATGGAGTCGAGTTAAAATATTCCACAGGGAATATCTTTTAGGTCAATACCAACCCAAATCCTGGTGAATGTGATTAAACTCCAATGTTGTCCAATTTTAAACGAAAAGAAAACAACAAAAACTGTTATCATTTATTAAAGGCATCCATGAAAACATGAAACCACTTTTGCTTAAATTGTACTTTTACCTTATATTATCAAGATGGTTGCTTTACGAGGGGTGATTCAAAAATAATGAACACAATTCTATAGGCATGCTTACTCTCATCCATTTTGTACGAGATATGGTACATAGAAGGATCAACCAATTATCTATAAGTTGTGAAAACTGTATTACTTAAAAATACATGATTAGAAATACATTTCAAGACATGGCACATCTCTCGCGTTAGGGTTATATACCTGGAATTGACTTTTTAAGCATTATACTACATATCGACATCATAATAACATATGAATTATAATGAACAGTTCAATATTTGAAGATGGTAACACTGAACAAGTTCAACCATTATCCACATCTTTCCTGATCATCCATTACATTTTATTTAATATTTAAATCATCTAATAGCACTTATTTCCCTCAAAGTTAATCTCCTGACCACATTCAAGATGGCTTCTACAATATGAATATTGTAGTCAGGATGGCCAGTCTGTGGTCTTCAGATCACCGAAGATCCAGTACCCTCTCAGTCTCATTACATCAACCGAAGTCTTATACCATATCTAAATGGCTTGCCTTGACAAGACCTAGTCTCCATGTGTGTCTTTGATTTTCCTGACAACACCCTGCCTCGTGTCTCCAGTTGCTACCAATTATATTATACAATTCTCTGTTGAACTTTAATTTCTTGTTCTGAAAGGATATATTTCTTGGATATTTTTTTAATCTTGGAGTCTTACTCACTTTCTGATTCTCGATGACTCAATATTCGAAAGAAAAATTCAGTGGGTGTTCCAGGGCAATTGGTTGTTGAATTAAGAAGTCACCAGCGTACATATGGACATATTATTAGTCTTCTTTGACAATCGCATTAGCATCTTTAGAGACCAGACAAGTTTGTTGAGTTATTCACATGAAATCAAACAGAAATGACAAAAATATTCAATTATCATTCAAAAGTGGATTCCACCCATTCTTACCCTAGATACTATGGTTACACATCACTGTAACAATATTAAATGCATTTAAATAAGAATTCGACACTTAGTAGATAATTGAATGATATATTGTCTGTTAAATTAGACTAATTGGGTAATGTTTGGTATGTCCATTACTTTTGAACCACCCCTCGTATATGAGAATTCTGTTTGAAATTCCAAAACGCGAACTTTGAACTATTTGTTGGTCAAACTCTGTTGATCTTTACTTTCTAATAGGATTTCAAACAACAATTAAGCTATTAAGTAGATATATGTAGATATTTGATTAAGTTATGGTCTCTTTTCCAAGATACACACTGACACAGGAATTGTAGATCATAAGCGTAAAATGCAAAAGTCCCCAGTCGCCGGAATGCATTGAAATCATTGAAACGTTGTGAATAAATTTATTCAAAAGTGACGTCGTTGTACATATTTTGGCAATTCAATAACCATATTAGACCAGTATGGTGCATTTTTATTGCTTTGATAAATTATATTTCGAAGAAGTTCAATGTTCACAGGTATCACAAATTTCTATTTCGCAAAAAGGGAAATCATATTGTTAACGTTTCAACGTTACAATACCATAACTCAAATAACATAAGGCTAATTCGACCAATTTTTGTCTTGAATATAAGATAATGTATTTATTCACATTTGTGTATTCCAAGAAGCACATCCTATTGTAGTTCCAGATACTCTGATGAAACAGTTTTCTTAACGGCACCATTTTTATTTTGTTTTTAGCCAACTTAAGTCAACTAATTTTATATAAAATAAATAATATTAAACATGCGTTTAAAAAGGCAACTTTTTGTCTCTATCTTTTGAAAATATTACCCGCACGCTTTTGGCGGTACTAACATGTCCATCTCGAGACTAATACGTTGCGGCATTACCCAGGGGAGCCTCCAAAAAGTGACCCAAATACAAGTTTTCTCGTTAACGGACATTATTCATATTTTTGAGGAGAACAGTGTCTAAGAACATGCAAAGCATGCAGAATGAAATCTAGATCTTGTGAAATCTAAGTAAAGCTTTGTTTGATACTTGTCCTCGCCCAAAAAATTAGCCTCGAACAATTCAAAGACATACACATAATTTTATTTATTTTGAACGGTGATATAAAGACAAACCTAGGCATATTTGTATACCAAATAATGTTTAAATGAATCGAATGCATAGTCCCTTTTAATAGCTATATCTTCGTAAGTTCGTAAGAATTATTTTCCATTCAGTAGGATTTTTTGCTGAATAAACAAGATTTTCTCCCCTAGTTAAAAAAAACAATAGAGGCCCTACAAATTCATGCTCCCCTAGCAAAGGGAAATGTATCAGTTATCATATTTCACCTTTAGATACATTTAATAAAAATAAAAATGAATATATGTGCAATATGAGGCCATACTTGTTCAAAAGAAAATCAATATGTCGGCCTTTCAAAAACAAACATTAGACATATAAGCATTCACGTGACTTCACGTGAATCTATCACGTGATTTCACCACTGCTACCATTTTGTTGGTTATGTGACACAGTTAAATCCTTCCCATGAGGATCAACCAATCTAAATGCTTCAAGGAACTCATTGAAGTCTATTTGTCCATCTTTATTTATATCAATGCATTTTGCAAGATCGCGAGCCTGTTCCTTAGGAATTTGAAGTCCAATGTGTTTACTGAGCAAGCTGCAGGCTTCTTCGAACTCATCATTCGTTATAACACCTGAAATTGAAATAGAAAAATCATAAATGTTGAAGGAATTATAGAAACTCTAATCACAGACCGTGTTGACTGAACAAAAAATCAAACTTGCTAAACATAAATAGTAGACATGTATCATAAAAATATACATTCATCAGTTCCATGAAACTTTTAAAATAGAACGATATATCACTTATATCTCAACTATATGATGAAGACATCGATTGATTGAATCAAAATTGTTACCGTATATTGATCGTTTGTAATATTATATCAATAATGTCTAATCCTGAATGATTCACTTACCTGAATTATCTTTATCGATGATTCTGAATATGGTTTCTAAACTATCTTTATTCCTGTAAAGTGTTTCTGTAATTCCAGACGCAGAGTCCTAAAAACATAAAGACATATTGGTTATTCCAGATGGAGAGGATCTTGGGCTACCAAGGAATGAAATTTTCATGATTGAAAATCAAACAGGTAAACAAGGATGGATGCAGTGACCATATGACCATATCTAGACTAATACATAAACAGGAGTGGGACCGGATTGAATACATCACAGTCCCGGACCTTGGCGATCGCTTCCTAGATACGCTCTATATCCCCACTCGTTATGTACCTTGAACCTCAGTGTATGTATAGGATATGTACATATATACGTGTGTATACAATTTGATGTAAAAATGCATTTTTCTTCTACAGTTATCCAGACTAATCATCTGCAACCGGAAATGGCCATGTGAAAAGTCCAATTGGTCAGGGTTTAGGCATAGGGCAGGGGGAGATCTCCAAAAGTTCTGTGTTGGTATTAGGTCACGCGACATCCACGTGATAGATCCAGTTAAGGCTTATAGGACCGTATACTGTTTCCGCCATTTTGAATGTCATGTAATAGAGACACATAAGGCTTGTGGGACCATGTCGTAGGGAAAGCCAAGGGGAATCCCCTGATACCAAATAATACCAAAGAATTATGGGAGCTACTCACTTCTTCTGGGCAAAGGGTTAGGGTTGAAGTATCTTTGGCCATTTTCGGTTGCATGGACCGAAAATTGTTTCTCGTTTAGATTACCTGTTCACTGAACTTGTGCATAATCTTAAATTGATCGAACGCTGAGGCATATTCGATCATACCATCTTCGTCACATTTCACCAATTTGTGACGTAACGTTCTCCAAGGCAACTCTAACTGCAAGACCTCTTCTACACCAGCGCACCACTCGGCAACAGTTATCTTTCCTATTTGTAACAATATACATGTACGTTTTGTTCAAAGATTGCAATACAAGAAGCGCAAGTAAAAAGATTGTTGTTATATTATAATGGGCACCGATACTATTTCAAAGAGACAAGTCGAGAGTAACTTTCAAAAAATATTACAATATCATGCTCTCATGTTATTAATTATAAAAACAAATAGAGGTTATTTAATTGGCCAATATATAACCCAAGGGAAGGAAGGTACCAAAGAAAATATTATAATGACCGAGTTATAAAACCCATATTCAGAAAGTAAGAATTTTTATTATGTCACATTGAGGGAATTCATATATGTCAAAATCATAAGAATAACTAAATATGGGGGATGATCTCGTAAATATCAATAGTAAACTACATAACATTTTATAATCAATGCTTCTAAAAACATATGCGACAAATGATGACGCAGTACACAAACTTAATAGTATAAACATTTATAAATACATGGACGCTATATAATAAGTGAGTTACGAAATCTCTTTATTACCAATCGGAAGACCCTTGTTGCGATGCCTTGACGCACAATCCTCATGTTTTAAGACCGCTTTTTAATTTTTCTTTCACATCCCAAATTCCAAAAACCAGGGATCGGAATTAACCTTCAACCTAATGTGCAACTTTTCACTGTTTTAGATATTTGAAATATTAGGTTTGAGAATTCTCAATTATCGATTGGGTTATATGTTAAATATGTCAAAATCTAAAATATCTTGACAATTTTAAAAGACAAGACGAATAAGCAATTTTAAATGAAATATAATAGTCTAGATTTTTGTATAATTTTCCTACTTATTACATATTAGGCATTTCTTCAAAATTTACGTCATTCTCAAACAGATTCAAATTTCAACCACTCATGCAAGATCAACCCACCCAGAAGTACATTGTGAGATCCATAGTCTCTACTACCCTTTGGAAAAATGTATCACAATCTTTAGATAAAGAGAGCCTCTGATGAATTAAATCAGAATGTACAAAGTACGTTACCTTCATTAGTTTGATCAATGTTTTTAAAATGTCGACATAGATCTAATTGGTACGAGATCAGCATAGTTCGCAATGTGCTCAGTGCAGACGTTTCGTTCAGACTTATTCTGGAGCGTCAGATGAGAGAAAGCGTAAAGATAGAAACGAAAATAAAATTAATTAATCATCAGAAAGAAATTTAGGTTGATTTTTGACATGCATTGCTATTCAATACGCACATCTAGAAGTCTCTATTTGGCTTCATGTATACATGCCTTACTATTTAATACGCACATCTAGAAGTCTCTATGGCTTCATGTATACATGCATTGACGTAATCGGGCACGAGGTGTTGCATCACATGGATAATTATATTCATTCAACAATAGTGCATACTAGTATACCAGTAGTGTTAAAAAACGCCACTTAAACGTGCATCGTGTGTTTTAAACATGCCCATAGCCTGGATTTGCAATGGGAGGGGTCACTATTTCAAAAATTCACATTTGAGAACTTTGTCTCAAAAATGGCAAATCACTTGAAAGGTAGGCTATTCAAAATGGTAAAAAGTTGCATAATTTTGAAAGAAATTTTGGTCAGCAAATCCCTCCAACCCCGCCATGGGCCTGCAAGACATGGTGGAAATTTAAATGTGATAGTACTATATAAGTTTACATCATTCAATATGATTTTTTCCTATTTTCCATAATAGCAACAATGCAACATACACAAACTTATTATGTAAATGTATTACACTTTACACTGAATTCACCAGAAAAGTTATCACATTGTATTGAATGATATAAACTTTAGGAGACATGCTAGTAGTGTTAATGCGTTTGCTATTATACTGCATACTAAGGTACATGCTACACATATACTTTTGAACAGAACACAAGATGTCATCATGTTTTGAGGTTGATAGTTCATAATTAATTCCAGTGAATGTTCTTCAGTGGCGTTGGTAGAAACACAACCAATGGGGGCCAGGACTCGTATAGATGGCAGTTAACTACTAGGTTGTTCTTCACATCTGGCCCACTGCATTTTTCGCCATCTATTGACAGTCCTGAAGGCCATTGAAGCTAGCAAGACTACCATCTTTTAAATAAATGATTTAATTTCCTCTTGTGTTCTTGTATGATAAAGGAAAAAGCAAAACGCCTTCGAGTATTAATATGAGGAAGCCCTCTAGAAAAACTCAAAGTTTATAAAAATGAAAATAGATGGAGTAATTAAGCTGGTAATACAATAGACCTTTCCGATACATGCTGCCACCTTTTTGTAGGTGAAAGCTAGGATATATTGGCTAGAATGATGATATCATTGGTTGTTGGTAACAGTCTATGCAAGCAAAAATATGATTAACATATTGATAATTTTGAAAAAGAACATACTAGAGACATCATCAATCTAGCCAATATATCATAGTTTTTTCGATATATCAAACAGTTGCATGTTTTATTCTGGAAAGATCTGTTGATAAATAGTTATTAGTTTGAAAACGGAGTGGGAAAGAACTAGAAATCTGGTTTAAATATTTCGAAGCGAATTTTAGGATGCAGTAGCGTTAGTTATGAGCTCATACATTTCAACATGTTAGTACCCAGTCCAAAATTTTGGAAGCTTGAGCTCTCAACTATTGTTATTAGGGAGGTTAAGTCACGTGTTTTTAAGATAACCTGTGCGTGAGCGTGTAATATATTTCGACCCCGGGGATTACTGTCCCGTTCTCAATTTCTTTCCAGGGACCCAATTACAATTATTTTCCTGATATCTTTATACTCAACCTGCCAAGTAAGCAGTACGAATTGGAGAACAAATCCACAGAGGACCATCATTCAACACGTTTACGTACAAGTTTAAAAAACGTGTATCTTAACCTTCCTATTAGCTTCGTGGGGTGAACCATACGCCGGGTATCCTTACCAGTCTGGTTATGGTCCATGGTTAAATAGCAATCTATAAGATCATGGCGCGAAGCGAGGATTTTCGTCTTCAAGTCCCTGATTGCAGATTCTTCTACTACACTAACTCTGCAGGTCCCAAAATATAACAATAAACTTATCCATAAAAATCCAGTAGAATCAACGTAAGTGTAGTCATCTCGCAAATTCTCAATATCGTTATTATACATTATGACATTTAAGTAGTATAGAAGGCGTTTTTATCCGGATTGCACCTTTGCACCCAAGCTGATGCACCCATATCTCATGCACCATTAATAGTTTGTCACATTAGTGTTGTCAATCATTCAAATAATGTAGCAACCGACAACGCTCATTCAATTCGAGTCAAACTGATTTTACTATAATACGTTTAAAACAATTGAAAATGGTTCTGAAAGAAGCACCTGTTAAGCTTGGATATCACGTGTCGTGTTGCAATATCACGTGATACATTATTTTAACAAAAAAATCTCGAGAGAATCATGCAAAACATATACATGTACACTACTGATACCAGCGAACTGTTAACCACAGCGTGAATTGGGTCCAATTAATGTGCAACTTTAACATGTGCATTATGCCATGGTCACATTTGTCCCGAATTTCAGTATCGGCGCCCAGCCGATGAGTGTTTTGTGCAAAATTGCATAGTTCTGAACAAAATATTCAATACCGGGCGATCCAATATCGTAGCAAATATGACCACAGCATTAGTATTTATAAATGCAGCATATACGTATGAAACCAAAATTACTGAAAATTGAAATAAAACTATAAACAATTAAAATAATGAATTTGGGTTTAAATTACTTATATATTGTAATTCTATAATCAATACTTTTTGTTTAATAATAAACAACTGCTTCTTATTCCAATACTTACCTCTGTTGAATAGTTAGTTTTCTATTTGCACTGTCTTTTGTGGCCATATATTGCACTATATGAGGTTTTAAATCTGTCCCTAGCTTTACATAAGCGCCCCTATTACTCCCCATCTCATAGTAATTAGATGCAGAGAAAACTGTCAGCACCTAAGAAACATAAATATATCTGATGATTCCAAAATATAAATAAACATGACAAACATTTACATAATAACATATTTCAGTTTTGTTTTAGCCCTTACTCCTACAACTATCAGGTGTGTACCATTATCAACTCCAATGCCCCATTTACTGACAGGTAAGAAGGTGTAATTAGAATGAAAAATCAGAGCATTTGGTTAAAATGCCCTGATCTGGTATATTAACAGCTATACTGCCTCAGTCACATTTGACCATTTGTACACAGCAATCGTACGGCGGTCGTAGCTTCCCAAAATCGAGAGAAATATGCAGCATTATATATAGGGATAAGCAGTACGATGTCGATTTTTCTATATATCGATTTTGTGAAGCTTCAGCCAACGCACGTCGGTCGTAGAGCAAATGGGACGTACCTTATCATTGTGCGTATACTCATATCCGTCTTGTTTACACTCATGTGATCTGATCAATAGATCTAGTCGATGTTTTTGTAATACTGCTTCGGTGACATCAGGTCCAAAATATGTCCCTCCTCCTCTGAATGTATTAGGTGTACAACCCTTCTGATTTTTCGGATCACTCCAAAGTAAATCTAAAACCTGAAAATGACGTTTTTGGTATTAATCATGAAAGGAAGAAAAGATGGCCTCAAAAGCAAAATAACGTTATGATTAATGATTTGAAGTGTTCCCCTTTGAGGTATACACATGTACACTGTCCTTCGAATATTTGTCAACCCTGAATTTATTGCACTAATTTTTTGTTTACATATCCACACCTGTCGCCAGGCACATAGATCATTCCTGTCTTGACTATTGATGGAATGTAAATCAGCATCATCGTCCTCTTCATCATCTTCACGACATCCACCCATTTGAGCCAAAGTACGGTCAACGGGAGGTCTCAAACATGACAAAAACTGAAACAGTGAAGATACTAATTCATTCTTTCATTCATTTATGATACTAATTCAATTTCGTCCCAACCAACCGTTTGAGCTTAAGTACATGTAAGGTTCACAGAAGAAATTAAACTTGACAACAAGAACTGAACTTGCTTCTTGATATACGCTTATATCATATAAGTTATATGACCTTAAATACACGATTCAAATGAGTTCTCTCACACATGACAGGTACACACATGAGAGGTAAACGTTGTTTTCATAATTCTAGTAATTTGTTCCTAGTTTTGTGATTACAAGAATTAATAGATTGTTGGGCCTCAAGTTAAGCAGGTTGCTATAATCTAGTATCTGATTTTTGGTATTGTTTAGTTCTAGTGTTTTTATAAATAAGGTTTAATTAGTTATATTATCAATATATAAGTCTATTTGGTTTTTAAAGAACCATACTCACTCTATGTCTGTCAATAGTTTTTAAGTAGTCAAGGTCTGTCGTATCTGAGACTCCACCATGTGCAACCAATATTTTATTATCGATGATGGTTGCCAGGGGTAACCAACTAAAAACGTCTTCAAATAGTCGAACTATCTTTGTTGCATGTTCCTAGAATACATGTCTTACATTTATACGTATCTTGTTATAATTCACATTTATTTCAAATTTATATATACTGATCTGCCTGGGATATTATATATTCTTAAGATGTAGTATGTCACTAGAGGAAAAGTCAACATGCTCAAGCACTTTTCAAAAATTAAATTTAGAACATTGTATAGCAGTTCTGGATGATCTAGCATTTTTAATGCCACTAATAAGATCTACATATATATACATTATTCTCATTTGCCTTGTTTACTTTGACACTGTATTGCATTGATCAAATACGCACCTTATATTTCGACATGATTTCCTTCACAAAACCGTACCTGAAATCAAAAGATGTATAGATTGAATGTTATGTGTATATCACAAAAAACAATTATCAATGTTCCATCTACAGGCCTAGTAGAATTGGTTTCAAATGTCACCATAGTATCAATATGATTGAGTATTATTCTACTAACTTTAGATTCAGAATTCTTTTAGCAACTATGAATCTCAAAAATAAGCAATCAAAGGACCACATTGCAACAGTATATGAAAAATAGAAACATATGCACAATGCCTAACTTTATTACACATTTTATTTTGGATTATTTTGTAGGTTGGCTACTAATATTTTGATGCTTCACTGCCTTGGATTTTCCAAGAAATTAAAATAGCCGGAACTCCCTAAATTATAAAAAGGCCACAGCTATGTTGCACATTATACCTAACTATCTGGAATATACAACAATAGACTTTGTTATTTTTGGTCTAGTTTTTCATAAACTGTTGCAATGTGCTCACTTGATTGCTTACATGTATTTTAAGATTCAAAGTCGTTTACGGAATTTTGATAATTATGGAATTAACCGAAATTATATCTTTGCTATCGGCACATTCATCTACCTCAAGTTCATCACATGATCTTCATGATTTCCCCTATTCAAGAATACATCGTTGGGATACACTAGTGAGCAACAAAAGAGAAGGATGGTGACCTCTACACTTTGCCAGCCTCTGTCTACGAAGTCTCCATTGAAAATGTATGGGTTATCTGGGGACGGGAGGCCGTTCTGCAAGAAACATTACTTGATTGTTAACATTACAGAGGGATTTTAGGATTTTTCTAGTTTCTCTTGTTCTAGTGTGTTAACATGAAACTTGATCTAAGCCATTTCCCAAAAGCATCTTTCACACGACCATTTGAAAAAATTGGAAAGTGAAGTTAAAAATATAATAACCACGTAGTTAGTAGTGAATTGCAAAAAACGTCATTGTAACTAATTAAAGGTTTCGTTGAAAGAACTGACATTGCTCCAAGAGCCCGTATACTCATTTTGTTTACATGTAAATGCTTCATGTAAAGCAATTTGATGTTTTGGGATTGACCAGGTTGACGAATTTATTACAGCAATATGACACGATATATTATATGATACAATATAATAAGATATAAATAAATTGATGAAACTAGTTAGTGACTGTTTCTAACATCTGACCCTCACCCATACAAAACTTTGAATTAATGAAGGAAAGAAAATCAATTATATCAAGCAATCAAATAACAACCAAACAACCAAAACTGTTCTTGTATCGTACATTTAAGTGATGATAATAATTCTACGTGTAATAGGATCATTTATCAGATAACCATACTAGTACGAGGGTTGTCCCAGAAGTAATGCACTATAAGCTCTAAACCTAAAGTATATAGTGCATTACTTCTGGGGCAACCCTCGTACATATACATAATATACATAAATAAATCATAAACATGAAATATAGAAAAGGAAAAATAACTTCATGACACCGATTTCCAATTTCTCCTTAAGTATATGATTAGCACTAAACGGCAGTGATTTGTAACAGTGCTTTGATATTAGACTAACAGCACTTGTTAAAAACACCTGTGCATTCCCCACCACGGTTGATATATTGGTGCATTATATATAGTCACACTGGGATTACAATTAAGTATTTAGCCATGTTCTAATAGAAGGGAATGGGATGCGATTTTGCAGAAATAGCTGTCTCCAGAGACCACTTTTGGTATAGTTTGGATCGAGTTATAAGAGGTAGGCCTATAGATATAGTATGTTGGAATAGAAAGGGTAAAAACGAGAAAGTTAAAAATTGATGAATACGAAAATGAAGGAGCATTGAATACAAAATATGAAAAATATATGCTTCTGGGAACCCCAGAAACTTTTTTAACTTGACCACACCATGCCTTTATAAAATGCAAACTAACTAATAAATGCAATTGCAGTTTGGTCAAAACATCAACCGAAAATAAGTTTTAATAATTTTTATCCCATGTGCTTTCGCAGTATGGAGTTACTTATATCTGGTATTAGAACTCCAAAATATTGCTAATCAATCGGAAAAGTTATCCTCAGCTTGACTAGCATTTGTTGTTTACATATCAAGGAAAGCGTTTTACCTTGTGAAATATAATGAAGAGATCATCTAGTTTGCCATGGAGGTCGCCACACACTGTAATTTGCTTTGTAATTGCTGTCGACACATAACTAATATTCGGTCTTCGTTTGAGCATCCGTCTTGTTTCGTGCAGTACAAAAAGCACATATTTAGCATGTAATAACTAAAATCAGAAAAACAAATTAATTTCTTACTAGCTACCATTGCCATCCGCTGTGATCAAAGCACTGTCGTATTAACAATGAGTTGATTGATATAGGTAAAGATGATTCAGTTCCTGTAAACACTATAATATTGAGACAGATACCCATAAATACAGCTCTTATTGTAAGTTGCATTTTGTAGAAAAGATTTGATACTACGAGTGAAAAGATTTATGATCTGCTGGGTTACATTACCAGCTGCATTTTGAATTTCAAGATTCCAAAATAGGTTGTCGCCATCGCAACCATTGAAACTATGACGCTGACACCATAGTAGGAGAACAACTGACATAGTAACTCACTCTACTACACCTTGCATTTGGTGTTCATGAGCAACCCTTTGGCTTATTAGTAATGGTTATGTTATTTGTTTTTATTTGTCTGTTCCTTATTAACGGTTTATCGGATGACATTAGATGTTAATAAGGTACTTTCAAAAATGTACTAAATAATACAATTGGACAAACAGAGTCTCTTATGCATTTCTATGGGTTAGGTATAGTAGAGTGTAACTACTACAAAAGGTTATGTCAGGTAATTTGTGTAAATGTAAATGTTAAACTGAATAATGCGAAGATGCATGTAATAAACACTACCACACCATTGTAGTTATGAATATGGTCTCGTTCCTGTTATATTCGACTCCTACACATTTATGAGGCGAACAAATCCCAATAAGTTTTACATATTGGAGACAAGTCCCAGGTACCACAAAAAAAGAGGTAAATATTCTCTGGGGTACAACCTTATTTTCGTACAGGCTCAAAACGAATAAAAAAGAAAATTCCATTCAGTACCTCTTTGTTTCGATAGGCTTCTATTAGCCATGTTAACTGTTCAGATGTCATCGGGGCAGTTAGTTTTGCTCCTTTATACATCGCATTCACCTTCACCCTGCTCGGATCAGTATTCTTAAGCAATTCTTCTTCGGCATTGCTGTTGCTACCATTTTCTAAAAAAGTAGATTTATTGATGCGGATTGGGATTATGGTTTGCAAGGGAAGAGTGTCTAATGACTTCAGGCACATCAGCACATGTCGAGGTTCTAGAAAAATAATATCTATTTTCGTAATTCAAGTAGCAACATGCTACAACGAATGTGATTACGTTGAACAAAAAGAATTCGTAACTTTATGATGTTTCTGTTAATGTCCAGTTATTTGAAGTCCATGATGACCCCCTGGTTCTCAGATGTATGATGGAATGCTAAGTGTCGCATCAAACATGTTTTCTAATAGACTTTTCCAATAAACCCTGACCTGTTTCGACAAGCAAGGGAATTAGTATGTTTTTATGACATCCTCTTTTCTGGTAGAAATGCTTGTAAACGATAGGGAAACATTAGTATCAAAAGAACTAATACTAGTTCTGCATATTTTAAATATTCATTCGTGAACTGTAGAATGATGGCCCTGTAGGAATTAATTCTCTCATTCGCAGTATTTACTTGCCATATTAACGGCAAAATGAAGTAGATGTAATAAGGTCCCTGGGAAAACGATTGGAAGGGGAGGCACTAATCCCTGGGGATCATTATATGACACGTCCACGTACAAGTTCTCTAAAGAGGAGCTTGAATCCCTCTAATGAGTACAATGTCATTTTCTGAACCATTTGGTTTATATACATCGATGGCGTGTTAGACTGACATGAAGTATTGCAACTGCACAAGGCGACACGCCAGTCTTGTGTTTGTGTTTTATAACAAGCTAATGGGTTCAGGTGCCTTAATCATTTTGTCGACGAACGACTTACTTGGATACTGAAACCCCTCAAAGTAGATATCATTCATTTAGGTATCCAACAATTATCTCGATGTGATGAGTGAGAAAATGCTTATGTGCATATCACATGTGCATATCTTATGTGCATATCTTACTATGTGTGCAAATTGAAAACATAATGGACGTGAGCCCCAAAAATTTAAAATGCAGGCTAACCACTACCATTTTCTCGTATCATTACCATGTGGTCGTGTCGATATAGATAACATGTTCGACGCTACGTTGGACTGTTGATTAGACTCTGGGTTCATCTGCAGATGTGTCAGCATGTCATCAAAGAAGTTGTACAACTGAAAACATAAAATGAAACTTTCCAGAATTGAAATAGATATACACTAGTGTAAATCTTTGAGAAGCTCGTTCATCAATTTATTAAAAGCGTTACTTGAAAATAAAACGTGTTTTCTTTGAAGGAATCCATTTGCTAAATAAATTTAAGAATTTCAAAATGTTGGCTAACTCTGAGAAACTAATTTTTCATAGTCGATAAACTACCAAAGGATATAAAACTATACAAACAATATATGAACTGTTTTAGTATTAAAACTTGATAGGTTTTGTAATTTTTAGTTTTTTTGTTTACCATCAAAGAACAACAACACGACCAATACCAGGCTACATAATCATTGTAATGTAATGTACAATATAACATGAAATGAAGGAAGTTATAAGTAATGATAACTGGTATACTATGTAATATAACATGTAACTGAAGGTATTATGTTTCTACAAAACAGACTTATAACGTTCAATATACTATTACAGTCAGGAAGTTTCCACATGGGTGCCATGTTAGTTAATTAATTAATTAATTAATGTACACCAAGACTCCGACTGAGATTCCTCAATCAATCGTTATATATATTATATATTAATTCATTGGGTATGAATAAGAGCGAGTTTACATCAACAATAATGATTTCTCGAAAACCGAGACGATTTGAGTTATGAGGATCAAAGATGAAATAGATACTATAGTTGGCCATACACGGATCACGGACATACAAATACAAGGTTTAATTTGCCCCATCACTATTAACGGACGGACCCAGACACTCAGTGTAGGTCTATGAACCTCAATACATATATAATACCAATCACAGGCAAATTACCATCAACGGGTAAAAACATATATGCGAATACAGGGAAAAGAAAACACCTCCAATGCAATCAGAGAATAACCACTAACCAAGCCAAGAACATTTGATCAAAATCACATTTTTTCACATATCGTATCCTTCCATTAAGGGATCCATCGTCCATCCTATCTCTCAAAAGCTTTAGATAAAAAAGAGAGACTGATAAATTAGAAATATTCCCTTCTGTTTCATAAGAAATTCTGAGACACCATCATGAATGTAACTTCTTTGATATATCTAATAGGCTCATCTGATGATGATAGTTACAATTAAGTGTTATCATGGATATATTGCCGTGTAATACTATACTAGTATATAATCGGTAGCATATAATCTAGCTAGTGCCATCATCAGTAATTACAGAGTGGGACAAAAAACAATACCGACGTTTAAAGATAAATATCATACGACATTTGTTATATCATGACATGTTTTATATATTATTTTATATTAAAGATAAATTGTTTTTAACAATATGACACCATCCGATTGAAATTACACGTTGGAGTTAAAATTAACACCAGGGATGTCATAAACTACCAAAAAAGGAAAATGAAAATTTGGATGGTAATGGTGTCATATTGTTAGGAAAAAATCTTTAAAATGACATATACTACATGGCATGGTTAAGATATATCAAATGAATCATTCATCTCTAAATGGTATTGGTTTTTGGCCCAACCTGTATAGGTACAGATGATACACAAGGCTCGGTCATACCATCCTTCAAGATCGGGTGTACATTGTCACAGGCAGCTCATGCGGAATAAATTTGAATACCTTTGGACCAAGGATGCGGTAATGCAGGCATAAGAAGAACATTGTATGATGTCACGTATGTATATCTGTAATTACCCATTCCCAAATGGCTCGGAGCATGTTCAAATGTACTGTATTTTAGGTTACTAATTGTCGTTGTATAATTGACCTTACATGTACATTGATTTCGCACATTTTGTATTTTATTCCAACGCCTCCATCCTCCAAAAACAGGCCTCCAGAACGTATACCTCCTTCCATAAGGAGGAAGGAACACAGTAGATGATTTCTGGAGCCCTGCGTTCTGAGTAAATACGCCTCGGGTAGATCCATTTTAATCCACAGTGTTCAGTTATAATCATCATGGAAGTCGAAGATCCAGTAAATCACCTTCACAAGTTTATGAGTAATGAGCCCACAAAAGATTTAATGAGCTTAAATACAATTTCGCAAAATATCTACAATCTGATCTCTAAAGAACATCAAACCTGACATCATTGATATAATGACGTCTAATGGATGAAACATAATGCAATGTCATAAAATAGTATATTGTCCCCGTGGAGACTTAAATTATGTCGAAATTTCCATTAATGGAATCCAGAGCCAGTACTATTCCTCGGAATAGACCAGCTCTCAAATTCTTTAGATTATGAGAGATTATCAAAAGCAAATGCCCTTCCACCAAATGTGTAGGATTGATGTACCAAATACGATCAGCATGGGCAATACTCTATCTTCGACTTCCAAAGTGTTATAAGGTGGAGCTACTAAAGCCTTGTGTCTTAAATCAAATATTCACCATTACGCATGTTCTTTAACTCTTGCATCAACAGAAGGAACAAATACTCGCATTAATAATTTACATCACAAAGACATTTGCACTTTTGTATGGAACATTGTAGATAATTCAGATTATAGATCATACAAATACACACCTACTCTGCCATAATTATTACATTATCAACCCATTAGCATTTATATAATTTTGGCACTAATAGATCGTAAACATGCCACTGCAACACTTTACAAAGACGTTGATTAATGAATAAGTACCATCGGAAAGCATTCTGATGAGGCACCAACTATTTAAACATTATCGCATGACTGTGTAGGGCTGTTTTATACAGATAACTCGGTCCTTGTAATAACTGTTCCCCTCTCCATTGATATTCATGCATAGGCGTAACCGGCGGGGGGGGGGGTGCGATGGGTGCACCCCCCTGACTGAAAAATGCACCTGACAATAAAAAGAATCGTGGGTCGTTCTGGATGCATCGATCGCAATTTGTAATCTTACCTTTAATTGGTTTTGTTCGCCAGAGTATTCAATTGACTGAAAAATGTTCCACGTACATCTTCTTCTGGCCTCCAATCGCGCCTGATAGCGCCTGTACCATTTTTGTATCAGTAAAGCCGCCTTCATAGCTGAAAACAATATTAACATTGATTTCTAACTCAACTAGTGTCTAATAATGGTATAACAAAACAATCAACTCATTCTATGGCCGACCATCATCTCAATAATATGAAATATTTGTTTTGAAATGTTGCCGAAGTCTGCTAACATTGTTGGGAAGAAATTTCAAGACCATTAGAAGGTAAGATGATCACCCTTTTAGAATATATTCATTCTTCTCCCTTGACAAAGAGCCTCATCGACACTGTTTGAGGTGAAGATAATCCGTTTAGTCCAAACAGCTAACCAAATTAATCACAATAGCAGGCACCTGTGCTTAATTCAAAAGGCATCTATTCTATAAGAAATTCCAAATAAAGGCCACGACATCTACATGTCACCTAGATATTATCAGCATCAAAAATAAACGGTTTCGGGTCATCTATTCAGAAAATGGAAATTAGGATCTTTCACCTGGGGGGGGGGGGGGGGTTAATAGGGTCGCATTTACCAAATATTGTATCGTAAAAAATAGATATTGATAATGAGAAGATTTGGAAAATTGAACATAAAAGTAATACTTTTTTCATATTTCATTGAACAATTTTTGATTTTAAGAAAATAAGCATGGTAAAAAACAGAATTTTAAGATTAAAATTCTTTTGAAAAAATGCTCCTATATTCGACTACTTTTCAATATAATGTTCGGTTAACCAGACGACTGACCAAAACACCTAAAAAGGCGGCATGATTATTGTACTCGCGTATTCGAGAAATAATACCCCGATGAAATTTCTCATCTCCAGCTGATTCTATGTCAATATTCATATGTCAATACACCCTAATACGTTTACGTGCTAGAATTATCCAACAGAAGGCGACGCCACTGCACTGTTAAACATCCTAAGCACGGAGGATGGATTCGTTTCAACAAGATACACCCCTCCCTTGATATTACGAAATCGAAATTTCCTTTTTGGAGCAAGAATAAGACGCTATCTGAATAGGTACATTATAAAAATCTATCAATTTTGTTTTAGAGTTGAAACCTGTTGAGATTGAAGGAAATTTGAAAATCATTAATAAAAACAAGATTTAACACGCTGCAATAGGGACTCGTAGTTTTCAAACTTGTGGAGGGGTGTACATTCAAGGCAGTATAAACAGGATACATGAAATGATTAATGAGTTATTACAAGCCAGAAATGGCAAGTTATGCCCACACATATAGAAAATAGATCAACGCAGGCCCTTTGATAGAGAAGCAAGACGTAGCCAATAAAGCTCTTAATTATGACGAAGCAGGAAATAGACAATACCCAGGTAAAGTATTTCGTATTGAGAAGAAAATTAAAGGCATGCAGAGATTTAAATCAAGTATTGCATCATATATTCGACTACCGCTGCTCATGCATAATCACTCTACTATACCCTGCATTTGGTGTTCATAAGCAACCCTTTGGCTTATTAGTAATGATTATGTTATTTGTTTTTATGTGTCTGTTCCTTATGAATGGTTTATCGGATGACAGGTAGATGTTAGTAAGGTACTTTCAAAAATATACTAAACAATACGATGAGACAAACAGAGTATCTTATGCATTTCTATGGGTTAGGGTATAGCAGAGTGATAATTCTAACCTGTTATATTAGACCTTTGCACAGGTGGCTCGTAATAGTGATGCACCTTTGCTTTATATTTCCGGCGAAAATTGTAGCTTTCGGCATCGTCTAATTCATCTTCTCCCCAATCACTGCCATCGCTCGTCGAAGCATGACCTGACCTTTGACCTCTGTGTGATTTATTCGATTGGGTAGATTTACTACTCATTGACCCGAAGCGCCGTGACCTTGCTCCAGATCGCCGAGTGCACCAAGATGGTAAAGATTCCGGACTGCCGTAGGCGCTATGGGTAGTGCCGATTGTTACGTTTGATGACCGGGTATCCCATCGATGAAGAGACCTATGTCTTTCAACGGTGTAATCGACACTCGCAGGGCCATCTCGGACGTACTGATGCATACTTTCATTACTGCTTACAGGATAAAGTCTCTGTACCTCCTCTTCCCTGCTTTGTCTACTTCTCCGACGTACCATTGACTGCCTTCGGACTCTATCCGCGACCTCGCGAAGAGTTATTTTCGATGTTCTACTCCTGACTTCGACACCTCCATCCTTGATGCTAGACCTTTTACGCAGGATGAGTTCTGAAAGTTTGCTCAGCCTAGATGCCTTTGAAACTCTTGCAGGATTGTTTCTTTTGTCAGGCGATTCGGTTTTATTATCAGATCGTTTGCCGTTTACTATTCCAGTTGGGGCTTGATTGAGAATCACTAATATAGATAGAAAAACACAATAAGGAGCGACCATTAGATCTAATATAGCTTTTCATTTTTATCCTCGAATTGATCATGGATAAATTCCTGAGATCTAATGTTGGTTCCTAAGGAAAAAGAGTACAGAACATAAAATGAGCCTGGCCATAGGAAAACCGGTCTTATCACAAAGATTAAAATTGTGCCTACAGAGCCAAAATGTGCCCAAGATTAAGAGGAAAATGTGCTAAATTCAAATCTGACATATTGGTTTGTATATGCAAGGAAAAATTGTTGAGACACAAGCCATGGCTCATTTGAAAGGTCTCTTTGTGCTTTTTAAGATAAACAAAAAATCAGAATATTGAAAAAATCTGTGATAAGACCCCTTTTCCTGTGGCCTGGCTCGAATATGGCATGACGTAGTGCAGAGAGATGTCTAAAATAAGCAGCTAATGACTGATGGTTCGAGTATATGGAATGGTATCTATGGTGATGAATGTATGCAGGTCAAGGTCAACAGGTCAAGCTTCGACGGCTAAGCAGGCTACTCGTTCACAGCAACGTTACACACTTATCGATTCGAAGCATTGGTACACGTTGTCTCAAGGCAGACTGCATCGGAATTGACTTGCAATGTTGCAGATACTTGACTTAAGCTTATCATACATACATAGGAGGAGAAAAGATTCCGAGCTTAGCAAGCTAAGGAAATATTCAGTCCGGATTTCGGCTTAAAAGGATTAAACCAGAACAACACAACCTTTCGAAAGTCTAAGTTCCATTTAGGATTACAGTATAGTTAACATATAAGAAACGGTGCGAGTCAATTTCGATGCTAGCGCTACATAGAAAGTGTTTAACACGTGGTTTAATTAGATTGTCTTGGTGCAAGTATGCACATTCCATAACTACGAACAGATTCCAAAAGTAACGACAAAATGTTAACGGCAAAATAATCTACAATAATATTTTATCAAAGTGCATTTTTTCAAGCGCCCCTAAAGTATTTATGAAATCTTATTCTTTGAAATAGAAATCGAGAACACAAAGGAATGACCCTCCCCCCCCCTCTTCCCCTTTACCATTTTCAGGAACCATTACCAAAATACAAGGCATTAACATGACAAAATGTCACCACTTAGTTGCTCACAATATTACAATCTTAAGTTCAATCTTAAGTCAGATTTGAATTTCTGAGAACTTGTAGATGATTTTGAAAAAAATAAACTGGTCAATTTCAAACAAATTGAAAAAATACCTTTTGTGACCCTGAGAAGGCCATTGAAGGTGCAATCTCAAATCTAAAGTCAGATTTGAACTTCTGAGAACTCGTAGATGATTTTTTTAAAAATTTATCAGTTTGAAGCAAGATAAAAAAGGCCTTTATGACCTCGAGAATGTCATTGAAGGTCAAATCTTTTTTGACCTTGAGAATGTCATTGAAGGTCAAATTTATAGTTATTTGAACTGTTGAGAACTTGTAGATGATTTTGAAAGAATTGGTCAATTTGAAGCTAAGGAAGTTGAAAAAAGACATTTTTGACATTTTTTGACCTTGAAAAAGTCATTGAAGGTCAAATCTCAAATCTTAAGTCAGATTTGAACTTCTGATAACTTGTAGATGATTTTGAAAAAGTGGTCAATTTGAAGCAAGTTGAAAAAAAACTTTTGACCTCGAGGATGTCATCGAAGGTCAAATCGTTTTTGACAATGTCATTGAATGTCAAATTTATAGTCAGATTTGAACGATTGAGAACTTGTAGATGATTTTGAAAAAGGTCAATTTGAAGCAAGTTTAAAAAGGTTGTTACCTTGAAAAGGTCATTGGAAGTCAAATCTTAAATATAAAGTCAAATTTGAACTTATAAAAGTTATTGAAAGTTGTAAGAATTTGTTAAAGACGCCGATCGCCAACCACCAACCGCCGTCAAAAAACGGAGACCACCGATGTCACCACTTTTTGGTGGCGATATAAAAACACCGTGATTCGGACGTTATGAAAAAACGAATTTTGGTGCTCTATGGTACCATTAACACTTAAATGTTTAATATGATTCCACTTCATTATAGCAGTGTCGTTCGAGTGTAATTTAATTTCGAAAATGAGTGCATCGCATGCAAATGTTGTGTATTTGTAGCAGCGATGACAAAGCACTATTCACGGACTATTCTAAGAAAACAGAAGCAATATGTCATGGCAACATGCAGGTTACAATTATAATATGATACTAGGCATATTCACCCGTGCAGACAGATCGCCTAAAATTACATTCGTATGATGCGAGATTCGACATTCACCAGGAAACTTGAAATAATTTGTCAGCCATGGAGCAAATTAATTTCTTACTGCTTAATAAATGGTGAATGACAGTCAAATTAATGGCGGTGATTGAAATTACGATATAAAGATAAAATTGCAGCGAAATATTTGTACAGTGTGTCTCAAGAAAATGTTACACTTACAAAAAGTTCAATATATTTGATGATTTTGACTTTTCCTCTAACATATACTTAGATACCGAAAGACCAGTCTTTCTTGAATAAATCCACACCATCAGATGCAAAACCCGTCCATGATTGGCTGCGTAGGACAGATTTTATAGACGCATGTGAAATCTGATTTGACTTCTCAGTGGTTGGACATGTGGTGATCAATTCTTTTTTGGTGCGAATGCTGTGGACAGTGATATCTTGATATGATCAATGATCCAGTTGTTTCTTTCCTGGATAGAAATACAATATTTCATTGTCAGAGTGCTCAATTTTGTTACGTATGATAGCAATGAGATGATGCAAAGGCCTGTGGCAGAATGTTTAGTAGAACTCTTTGGAAATAAGAAAATAGCATCGAATTACTCAATGGATTGGCCCCCAGGGTCATCCCACTTTACACCCTTGATTTTTTGAAGGGCCTCTGAAAGCGCTTTACAGCATCACAAACTGACCTAAATGAACTTCTGCAAAAATAATTGACGGCATCAATGTGATATTACAATGCATTTGCGCATGGGCAATGGCACCTCAGATTTGCTTTGGAGAACATGTTGAGGGGACCACATGTTTATTTGGATAGACCCGATGATCATATGTAAGACAGATAGAAAAATTACAGAATGACTCAGTTAAAGATCGAGCTTCTACTCAGAAGAAAGTTAAATGTTTAAGAAACGTCCTCTTTTGTCATTTGGTCCATCAAATCACTTAGACGTTGTTGCAAGTCAGATTTTACCATGGGACACTAAAATCTGTCCTGTAGAGCCAATCAAGGACAATTTTGAATCTTTTGGTGTCAAATTATTCGAGAAAGATTTGCCTTTTGGTATCCAAAGTATATCTTAGGTGAAAGGTCAAAATTGTGAAAGATATTGAACTTTTTGTAAGCGTAACATTTTTATGAGACACACTGTAGATTTCTTTGAACAACTAAGAAATATACATTACATATCGAATTTCCAAAACAGAAAAAGCATGTATAAATAGTAAGGCCTGCAGGTCCGATTCCCCCTTGTACCATTTTTATTGGTCTCGTGTATGTCATACAATTAATATTTGAAACGCAACATTATTCGAACTTATGATCGAACATTAGTATGATATTACTTTATTACCTTGAAGTATACAGCATACTTATGTCCGATCACAAGTTCGAATAATAGTTGTGTTTCAAATATTATATTTCTTTTTTACGAAAAATTCTATATGTGATAATTCTTAGATTTTCAAAGAAATCTACAAATATTTCATTTCGGTTTTTATCTTTACATCGTAATTTCAATCACTGCCATCACTTTTCAAACGAGTTACCTTGAAATATCAAGACGGCGTGCTATTTTCATACTTATAGAACTCAATGTGACACTGCTACCATTTACGTTTATCAAGCAGTAATAATTAATTTGCTCCGTGGGTGACAAATTATTTCAAGTTTACTGGTGAATGTCGAGTCTTGCATCATACGAATGAAATTTTAGGCGAAATGTCTGCATGTGGTAATATGGCATTGTCTAAAATATAAATGTTGACATATCAATTTTAGTTCTGTAGTGTGTGGAGCGCATGTGCGGTAAAAGCCTTCTATTAAAAGTATAATCATAAAAATAACATAATACCCAAACAATAAAAAATAGACTTATATATATGGATAAATGTTCATAGAATATTTACACGTTATTCGTTCATATGTATGTAATGTTTCAAGGGTATAACTATGGGATGTTCATATCTGCCTTGGACTCACTGGTGGAGATGGTCGATATATAAACGATATCCAATCATTGATAAGATTATGCCACTTGAAATCATAGGATATATTTTATATCCATCCTTCTCATCCCCGGGGATGAAGGTGTAATTAATTTCTAGCTACTATGGGTAGGAAAACTTACCCAAGTTTTAGAATTTTTAATATTATAATAATTTATGTGATAATCGGTTCTGGATATTGAGAAATCCTAAACCAGCTATTACAATTCCTACAATTAATACAAAGAAAAACTAAATTAAGAGGGAATAAGGTATTTACATGATAGATGCATTCGTCTACTTAAGATACAGCTGCCAATTTTAGCCTCTAACCCCACAAAAACAAAGGTTTTTCATTCCGATAGTGTCATATCATTAGATAGTGATTTATCTCTTTAATGGCATATAATACATGGCATGATTAATGTTGTTTTTTATATATTACTACCATTTTAATGCTAAAACTAATGAAAAATACAAAAATACATAGGATCCGAGTTAACTATGAACCGTTTAATAATGATAATCATCATAATTACAATCATCTTTAAACTTGTGTATTGATTTTGTGGCTCACTCTGTAGTTTAAAGATCAAAATGATCCCAGTTAAACATGTTAAATAATGGATTATTTGCTTTACGTATAGTCATCATATAATACGCATGCAGTAAATTAGCATTGCACGTTATATGAAAAGAAATTAAAAGCCAGCATCAATATCTAATAAATGAATTAATACTACACATCAGATCTGATAAACAGGCGGTAAATAAAACGGTTAGATTTTAGCAAGCGATCGTATTAGTATTGCTGCGGGTTCAACAATATATTTCACGATTTCATTGAGATTACTTTCATTAACTAGCCTAAATGTCGAATATCTTACCGCCTGTCACCATTAGGTAAACTTAAATCAGTAGGATAGTAAGATAAGTTATATCTGAATCGAGTAGGTATATTTTACACATCAACTTTTCCCATCTTTACATTCGCTCCTAGATTTTATTTAAGATTGTACAATAAAGGCTACTTACATTTTTCTGATTGTTTCATGCCGGATTTACTAGTTCCGCACCCCATTGTGTAATACAGTTGTTCTGGTGCTTGAGTAATGCAATGTTACAGTACATACATTCGAGTTCCAAGATAACACGCCATCATCGTATCAATCCTACACGTTCAAATCGTTTTCCATCTAACGTTCCATCCAAACGCCGGAACACATATTATATATTTCCCATCTAAAATCACATAAAATTAACTGCTTGACAAGAACGCCTGTATACATACTCTGTCGACGCTGTGTATGCTAGATATTGTAGTTCCAGCAATTAATGCAGTCTAAATAATTGCATCGCTGAATCCCAGAGTATGTACAAACCTTAGTAAAATACCTTAGTGTCATTGACGGAAATGCATTGCATAGCTCTATCTGACTTATCACACTCTCAGAGAGTATCCGATATAGATATTTATCGAGATGCTTTTACGGATAATAGAGTATTAGTTAGCGACTCTCCTCCATAATTCATGCTATAGTTCTCATGAGGGGCAACAAACATTGTTTAGTATTGTTTCGCTTCCACTTGCAATAAATATCCAATTTACAACGGTGCTAAGCTGCCAAGCACCTGTAATCTGCTTTACACAGATATATCGATGTACACAATCCGTATACAAAACGATGTAATCCTAATTATCGTTTGGGTCAAAATTAATCATTTGACGAGGCAAAGTCTGTTAATGTTACTTTATCACATTGTAGTTAATACTGTAACATTTCCCCCACTATCAATAGATGTTTGTCCTCGAACATGTAAATTGAAGATTTACAGGTGCACAGGTGTTAAATATACCCAGAGCTAGCTTGAAAATTAATATACACTTATCCTGTCGAGATAATTACATCCACAACATCGCCTGTTGTAACCGTAAAAATGACATCAACACTAATTTGTCTGTAACGTGACACTGATGTCATTGGCAATAACAACACCCTTGATTCTAGCGAAAAAATACAGTCACTATGGCAACTCGACTGCATTCAAGTTTAGCTCAACCAATCAAATTCATGGTTTACGAGGATCAGCAGGAAACATGACTTGTCCAATCGGTAACTTAAGACTGCAGAACTGAGACAAAATTATGGAAAACTAACGTAATTCCGTAAAATAAACACTAAAACCAACATACCATAATTAAGATTAAACATATCCATCTCTCTGAATATTTACCCAGTGGATCAGAATTCTACAATTTAATAAAAAGAAACTCAAAAAATCTTAGAATTTCGTTTGGATCGATTCCTTATGATTGTATGTATCCACTTAATACACAATCAACTTGGTTTTTCCGCATGCTTGAACACTGTGTATCTGGATCAATTGAATAGTTTCGGATTTCCATAATTGCACTCGTCGAAACCATTCACCTATTCAAGGCTATTATAGATTTTCCTTTAAAATATAACTAACTTTATTATTTTATAAATAGATGCATGTTGACTTTATTCTTGTAAATCCCTCGTTTTTTCTATTTTTCATTCTTGTAAAAATGTTTTTTTTCTCATAGGTAAAATGATATTTAGCCACGCTTGACTTGTTATCGATTAATAGTACAATTATTATATTGTGGACATAATTGACCCCTAACACTGCTTATAAGATGATAAAAACTTAAAGCAATTAATAACGACAGGATACTACAATTGTTGTATTACTTCAGACTTTTGTCTGAGCCGGCTACTTGAAGGTTACGTTGGGTAGTATATTAAAGGTGGTCAATATTTGATCCTCAATTTTGTTTCCTTCATTAAAATACTCAGAAACTAATGACAAAGGTCCAGGTAGGTTATTGCAAACAATTCCAGACGATTTTATCTTCGATTATGACTATTTTCCTCTGTAGACTAGTTCTCCCATTTGTACTGTTTACTTTTGCGCCGATTGGGTACAAAGATATACGAAAAGTAATAGTAAGGCGGTTTAGGGGAAGCGAATTGAGAACGATACAGTAATCCCCGGGGGTCGAAATATTAAACGCTCACATACAGGTTCTCTCAAAACGTGTAACGTTGTCTCCCTATTAAAAGCAATAAATTCCACGTAATGTTGTCTACGGCAAAACGCTTCAGTTGTACAGTTAGTATGAAGATTATTGTGGAAAACAGCTGAAGTGAAAGGGTGCGCTATACTCAGCTAATATTTGCACAATATGGCGTGAAATAAATCAGAATTTAGCTTACGGAGTAATTGAACATGCACTAGAGATAAAAGCTGTAATCATTTTTGAACAGATTATTCTTTCCAGTTGATGAATAATTTGGGAGATAAAAGCATTCATTCCCCAAAGAAAGAAATTGCAGCCAAATCGGCATATTGCATCATTCGAAGATTTGCATGAGACCCCCACGCATGCGCAGGGGAATGGGAATTTAGAGAAAATTAAAATTGGGTAGTCAAATTCCCTACCCCGTGAGCAACCTCGTGATCGAGTCAATTTCACCAACTGGGAGATCGATAATATATAGCTTTCAATACATATCATTGTATTGAATAAAACATGATAAATAAAAAATTAAGATAAATATAACTTTATTATACTCAAAACTCGGATTCTGGAAATATCATTCATACATGGGGGGAGGGGTCCGATGCAAACATTTGAATGGTGCATAACACAGCTAGGTATTGACACATTTAGCTTAAAATTGTGAGAAGTGTCGCAATAGTTACAAATTGAACAGTTACATTATCTTAAAGTGCCCGATAAAGTATAAAATGCGCATGCGTCCAGGTGTTGATAAACTATAAATAGCGAAAACCCAGGGTTTGTCACCACAAGGTAAGCCAGGACGTGTTGAGAGAACAGCTAGTGTTGATATTGAATTTATATGTAGCCAGATAAGTTTCCTTATTGAAATTACATATGTTTATTAGCAATACTTTGTAGGTACCAAATAATAAAATATTTAGAGTATATATGGGAGAAATTGGTCATTTCGAACCTGTTGAAAAGTTTGTGGCTCTCGGCTACACCGGGGAATTTACTTCCATGAGTACACACATAAACGTGGGGTTCCCCAAGAGGTACGCGACAAGGTGACCTGGCATCAAATGTGCGACTAAATGCTACTATCGAGAAGATAAAATAACGAATACGACAATAAGTTCCGAGCCTTCATCTCACTGAAGTATTTTGAAGTGAAAATAGGATTTTTGTTTTCATACATGGATTCAGATGAACGTAACTTTATTCTGACAACTAATCAAAACTGAACAAAATTGATTGTACGTAACAGACAATTTATTGTTTTACACTGTTTTGATTGGCCAAACGAATGAAACCAACAAATTATGACATGTAAAATGACAATTTTGAAATGTAAAATTTAAAAGTGACAAACACAACCTCCCTATCCACTCTTTGGGAGCCCTAGTAAATTAGTAATATGTACATGCAGCAGTGGTAGTGTGCAGCTTATTATCACACTACGCTTTGTATTCTAAAGCCTGTTGTTTGTAATAACACTGTTCACTCAACGTATGTTTTGTGTGTGGGCAGTCAACGATAATCATTGTTTTATCCCGGTTATATGACCTCGGCAATTATAACAAAACTGTACTAAACGAAAAAACGCAAATAAGAGAAAGCTTTCACACACATATAAAAAATGAACTAGTCTAATCCGCCAGTATAAACTCTGTGCTATACGTAGCCGGGTCAGGCGCACACTTTAATATAGTAATCGTTATATTTAATGGCCTTATTGTATCAATTAATACTTCCTATTTCTTTATTGATCAAGTTAAATGTTATGGCTTCGTTTCTAATTGTTCGTGTAGTCCTGTACAAATTAGTCAATTTTAATTTGTCACGACTCCAGGGTCATTTTATCACTTATATGTATTATTTTAATCTAATCCCTATTCTTGCTAAAATATTTGTTTTTCCTACTTTATAAATTACAACATAACATGGGGACACCATTGACTATTGACTTAGCATCGGGATATCATACAGGCCCGTAGCCAGAGGGGGAGCTGGGGGAGCGGAAGCTCCCCCCCCCCCGGCCAGAAATTCTTTCAAAATCATGCAGTTTTTCACCATTCTGAGAATTTTTCGCATGATTGTTAACCAAAATTGTGAAAAAGCTCCCCCCTGGAAAAAAGCTCCCCCTCCTGGTAAAAGCTGGCTATGGGCAAGTCATAATATATGTCACTGTGGGGATAGATACAAAATCCTCATTACCTCAGAACTCAGAGAATCCAATTACCAGTTACTATTTATACACACTAGATTTTTTCTTAAAGTACGTATATAACGTATAAATTATGCGTTATGCAGAGTACACGTATACATGTACGTTTTATACAATACATTAATAAAATACATTTGAAAAGACATCCGAGCAAGTAACCACTTATATTTATGAGACTGCCATTAAGGAATACCTGCTGAAGAAAGAGAGAAATATGTACCTTGATCTAAGTAGGCCTCTATCGACCCGGCAGCCTAGAGGTAATGCCCTCTTCTTTCTTGTTCTAGTTCACCCCAATTAGTGTGTTCTTCTTTCATCTGTATGAAGACTGACGTAAATAATTCATGTTTCTGAGTATATTATCGTACATTTTCAAACATTTTCTCTATAATATGTAAATACGCATCACTCCTTTTGTATTTCTGTACGATATAGAGCATGTACCGAGTTATTATTTTTTCTCCTCGTTTATTCTTCTATTTTGCTTGATATTGCGTATGTTCCTGTAAAGAATGATGACTGCAATGGAACTGAATAGTTGATTACGTGGGTCGCCGTATTAATATATCATCCTTACGTTTTCTACTGCTTCTGATACATCAACGGAGCATATAATAACCCCTAGCAAGAATTTACCTTTGTCAAACTCTAACAAAATGTCTATAGAAAGCAAATATCCAATCACATTTACAGTGATTTAGCTAATCAGAAGATCACTACTAATTCGCCTCTCCTTGCTGACGTTAATTTCAGATTCAACTTCCTTGAATAGTTCACGAAAATGCAGTCCTTGTTAATGCGGATAGCCGGTGAGAATGTACATGTTTATGGTAATGTATCCCTGTTGTTAACTGATTGATATTTGTTTTGTATACCTTTGTTTTCACGAAAATGCAGTCCTTGTTAATGCGGATAGCCGGTGAGAATGTACATGTTTATGGTAATGTATCCCTGTTGTTAACTGATTGATATTTGTTTTGTATACCTTTGTTTTCACGAAAATGCAGTCCTTGTTAATGCGGATAGCCGGTGAGAATGTACATGTTTATGGTAATGTATCCCTGTTGTTAACTGATTGATATTTGTTTTGTATACCTTTGTTTTCACGAAAATGCAGTCCTTGTTAATGCGGATAGCCGGTGAGAATGTACATGTTTATGGTAATGTATCCCTGTTGTTAACTGATTGATATTTGTTTTGTATACCTTTGTTTTCACGAAAATGCAGTCCTTGTTAATGCGGATAGCCGGTGAGAATGTACATGTTTATGGTAATGTATCCCTGTTGTTAACTGATTGATATTTGTTTTGTATACCTTTGTTTTCACGAAAATGCAGTCCTTGTTAATGCGGATAGCCGGTGAGAATGTACATGTTTATGGTAATGTATCTCCGTTGTTAACTGATTGATATTTGTTTTGTATACCTTTAGAGTTTTAATATTTCTTCACACTTGGGTTTGTTTATCAAGTTCATTGTTATATGTTTACGATTCAGATGAAATCTAATGTTGAAGTACACACCCCTTTACGTTTAGCTACTCTGACTTTCCATTAAAGAATCTATTAAAGAGCACATGGTAATGCATAAAAAATATGTCTTTCATGATTTTTTAATAAATAGGCTAAAATAAGGATCAACTCGGGAAAGACATAAATGCTTCCAAACTTGAAGATGGGTGAGTACCTGATTTTGCAAGGCTTTTTGAGGGGAGTATACCTAATCTATTAACTCGTCCATTTTTGACAAGGGAGGTCGTTCGAACTCCCCCTCCCCCCCTGGCTACGGGTCTGCTGTCAAAGCCCCACTGTTGCCAGTATGTTTAATTAAATGAAGCGACGAACTAGCCACGAGGTTCTGCAAATTGTGGTAATCATTAGTTATCCTTTAGTTCTGATAAATGATCATTAATATACGTTAATTAATTAATAATTGATGAGATAAAACCTTATCCATGAAATTCCATATCGCCTTAATTCCTAATTACGTCTATTAGTAAATGCAATTTATTGTTTCCAATAGCTATACTTGTAAAATAACAAGAATTAATTGATTTTAGGGTCAAGGAACTTGAGTGTTATAAGTACTTAAAATGTTTTTTTACATTCATTGTTTGACACTGCCCTAAAAATACTGCGAATGTTATCAATATGAGTCATGTTTTCATGGGTCGCTTCAATGGAAATGTACACCAAGTCACCAATGCAGGGATGCCGGTGACATTGTGGGTATAATACATGTATGTTTAAACAATCAGTGAAATATATACTATCGCCAATACATGAATATGTGAATTTGCCAGGTGAACATAGATTCTTGTGACCAAATCTTCTTCGAGTGTGATTGTACGAAACAATTATGGAAATCAATGATTGAAAATATTCTAAAGGACCCTACAACTACAACATGTACTATTTGGAAACCCTCAATTTGAATATTATTATTGCAAACTTTTACATCTAAAATAAGAAGTTGCTGCAAGAGTGTAGAAATCAAAGCAATTTTAAATGATATTTGAACTATTGCACAAAATTTCTATTCAAATAAGGTTGCGTACTATTTCTTTTCAAGGATGGGTACTATTTCTATTCAATTTAGGGTGGCTACTATTTCTGTTCAAGGATGGATACTATTTCTATTCAATTAAGGGTGGGTACTATTGCTATTCAAGGATGGGTACTATTTCTAACCAATTAAGGTTGGATACTATTTCTATTCAAGGATGGGTACTATTTCTATTCAACTAAGAATGGTACTTTTTCTATTCAAGGATGGGTACGTACTATTTCTATTCAACTAAGGATGGGTACTAGTTCTATTCAAACATGGATACTATTTCTATTCTAGGATGAATACTATTTCTATTCAATTAAAAATGGGTACTACTTCTTTTCAAGGATGGGTATTATTTCTATTCATGGATACGAATATCACCACATTTCTTTTGTTTTCCTTATGATTGTGCTCTTTTCCCAGATGTGTTTTGAAATATGCTTTGTATATTCCCTTTTGTAAAATACGATTACATATTCAAGCGAAGCAGCTCATGTAACACATAATCTTATCTGATGTGTTATCTTGATAAGAAAATTAATAGTATCTAGATTATATTGTCTGATACCCACTTATTCAAAGTTCGAACTTCCATACCTTCACTGGTTACAAAATGTTTGCATTGGCGTTAGTGTTGGTGAGCTTATGCTCGGCCAATGCTTTAGAGGTAATTATACACTTTATTTTGGAAAACGAAATTTGAAGATTATCTTGTTGCATACAACTTAATTTTGAAAAAATAAAGGTTGACTATAAAGTCATACATACGGTTGCTCTTATATTTGGAAAGTTTGTTTGGATTCAACAATAAAATTTCAAAATAAAATCTCCAAACTTCACAAGTGCTCAATGCTTTTGTTTTTCAATTGAAATATCAATCAATACCTCATATTACCCCCCCCCCCCCCGAATCAAAGCGTTTATTCGACTAAGCAAGCTTTCAAGAAGCAGAGTCAATGTTCTATGCCCGATACGGTTCCACTTCTGCACGGCAATTACCAGCCAAACAGCCAGAATATGAAGTGAAGTCAAGTTGTTTGTCTTATGTTTGTCTATTTACTTGATTTTCTTGGTTTCACTCTTGTGGTTAGATTATATAATATTTATATCGTTTTCTCGTGATTTTTCAAATGTCGATGCCTCATTAGACTCAACGAGCGACTTGAAACTGCAGCCATATGGCGGGTCAAAATATAACTTTTGTAACGTCACGGAAACCACACCTTCCTGTCCAGTCGAACATTTATCTTTATGATAAACAAATCATTGATGGTACCGTTTGTAGATAAATACACTTGTTTTGCCCTTTATTTTTTCAGCTGGAGAGTATAGATAATATCATCGATAATGGTAAGTTAAACCTTAGTCACATTTGCTGTACGGCGGTCGTACGGCGGCCGTAGCCTCACAAATTAATTTAAAAAAATCGACATCGTACTGCTTATCTCTATATTTTATACTACACTTTGTCATGTGGAGCCCCAAAGTGATTTGGAATTTAATACATTGACGTGTTGTTCATTCTGTAATTTGCATTCTAAATGTCGTGCAATTGATTTTAAATAATATTCTTCTTATTCAGAACTAACATTAACCGACGATGGAGACGAAATTATAGAACTCGATATTGTTGTTCCAAAGGATGCGTGAGTATTTATTAATATAACAGTCTATTAAATCATGCCATCTATTAAACTATTGCTGATTTTTAAAATAGTTTTAAGAAACATCGCTGGATGCAATGGGTGATATCATAAATGTTTTTTTGCTTGTCATGACATATGAGAGAGTTCAGAGAGTTCATCTTGAGAATGAAGACAAAATGGACTACTATGAATCACTTTGTAAAAAACTGTAAAATAATATATAATAACCAACACTAAACTGTGTGACTCCGTTTTAGAATATTGCATTTTACTTCGAATGATATTTCTCTGTTGCAGCCGTCCCAAAAGGAATACGGTGCCTGAGAGGAAATGGCCACTCGGGGAAATCCCATATGAGTTTGATCCAGCGTTTCGTAAGTACAGAATCTTGGCTTTTGAATTGCTCTTTAAGAAGAATGTGATAAATAAGTTTTTAAATTTACAAGCATCAAACAAGCATTCAATTCTTTATATTTTGCTTAACACTGAAAGCATATTCGGCGAGAAAAATGAAACTTAAATTTCAACTTGTTTTTAGAGGGGGATAGGGCATTAGTTGAGCGGGCCATGCAGACTTGGAACCAAGTGACATGTGTAAGATTCAGACCTGCAACAGCGTCCGACGTTGCAAAGCTGAAAGTAGTGACACCTTCAAATGAAGGGTAAGCGTTTTGCAGTATGTTTTCTTTAAATCACTGATGTTTTACTTAACATGTTCAATAACATTATATGTTGAAACTATGACTAGTTCAGTAAGTTAAGAACGTAGTGCCACCTATTTTTGTTAGACTGCTTATTTTATCGTGAATTGACCTGACAACACGTGTTAATTTGTATCCAAATATTATTTACTAAGGTTGAGTGTATGCTTGGATATTTTTATATTGGCGCACAATAATTGTGTTTCTCTGGATCTCTCAAACGGAGTTTTACATATCGAATATGCTGGAAAGTTATATAAAGACAGTGCCGCCAGGGCTCGAAGTAAGGTATTGGTTATACGTTTATTTGAATCTTTTTTACAAGGGATTGTTCGACCGCAGTAGGGACCTATGGCGGAACACAAAATCTGAATCTTGGTGCTCGTTGTCAACAGGTATGTCTTTTGTATCTTTCTGACATAGGAACTAATCTACTTGCAAGCTTAAGCATACTCACTTGTTTTTTTAAAACCACAAACAACATTCGGGAATATTGCTCGCAATTTCGATTCCTAGTTATTACAAAAAGGTATATTTCAAACTAAAATAATTTACCTAATTAGTTACTAATTAGGTTCTGATTTTATGAGCATTTCACGAGAACCATAAAAGATCAAAAAGATGATTATACGTGTAGCTCTTTCGTAAACATGTTGAACCTAACATGATTTCTATTGTCTTAGAACAGTCTGATATGTGTGTTTTCATTTTTAGATGCACGTGGTTCTTCATGAATTGGGCCATACCGTTGGTTTACAACACGAACACCAGCACCCCGACAGGGACATGTGTGTCACTGTAAATCTACAGAACATTCAAGAGACAGGGCAGCAATGGTACCGGAAGTTCACCAGACAGGAAGTGGATACGCAGAATGTTGAATATAATCCACTGTCAATCATGCATTATGGTAATACTGTAAGTGTTTGTAATTCAATGTTCATGACTTTAACCTATCCATAATGTGAATTTCATGCATTCAGTTTTTTGTAAGCCTAATGAAACATGAGCAAGTTTAAGATAGCATATTTCTGCCATATATAGTTCTTCTGGAATGGTAATGGGGCCACCATGAAAGCGAATGACCCTACCATCCACTATCAAATGGGAAAGGTGAAAGAACTTGCAGCGACGGATATCAAGAAAGTAAACATACTTTACCAATGTAAGTACTTCAAAAATAAACTATTTGTATCCCATTTTACATTTAGCACGTGATGGTTATAGGCACCGTTTCTTTGGACGAAATCATTGTTTGTGCTTGAGGGGATTGTTTTGTAAGACTCGAATAATTTTCTGTCTGTCTGTGTTTTCTGTAAAAGGCCGGGATTAAAACGTTTTTGAGGGGATATTGAGAAACCAAAAGTGGGCATTGTCATGCTTTATCAACATTTATACAAACAAACTGTAACGTTCACTGTCCTTCCGATCATGATCTTTGCAAATGGTACAGAATCTAATGTGAGAAATGTTTCACATGGGTCCAGTTTTGAATGTGTTACGTCATACATGACTTGAAATAGTTACTTACAATACCATGTTTGGGAAATAGTCTCGGCAAGATATGTTTCTAATGTTTAGGGAACTCATTCATTAAACTAGTATTACAGTCAATATTTTGATAAACCATGGTTTTTGGATAGATTTGTTTGACATTCACTTTTGACATTCTAGGTCCTGGTCATCAGAAGCCAGCTATGAATCCAATACCTTCTTGTTCTGTGCCCAAAACAACATGGAAGCAACCAGGTAAATCTGATCTCTGACCACAGGACTTCAAACATAGTCACTGTTTTATATGAATAAAGACATCCATTTCATTAAATTGAGATAGTTTCATCATCCAATGTGCGAATTAGCAAAATATACAGAGCAAATTATTCAAGAAGAAATTGATCACATCATAACCAAAAAGAATCAATTACCAAAACACTCCACACAGAGATGCATCCGCCATGGTTCCCAACATTTGATCATACCGACGACCACTTTGTCCAATGCACGTTGTTTGTTTCTCCGAGGTCATCTTCATATACTATCATAACAATTACCTGGACCCAGCCGTTGATCACTAGTTTTAACATCGGATTGCTTACTAGGGTCAAATTGCAAAGATATATAGATCGATCCATTAGACTTATTGAGTTCTTTTTAAATAATTAAGATCGCAGTTGCAAAGACTCGGCTGAGGAGAAGCAATGTCGCATTTGGTACGAGTTGGGAAACTGTGTAGACCCAGAGCAATCTGGAATTACTAAAAAGATATGCGCCAGTCATTGTAGCGCCTGTGGTAAGTTTTAATTGTCAGCTTGTATGACACCGAGAAAACATTCAAAAGTGCATTTAACAGTAACTTGAACCGAAAGAAATCTTTGGACGATTTACATATATCCTGTTTTGAGGATTAAAAGGAAACCAATAAGTATGTAGTACACAATTTTGAATCCAGTTATTGACAGTTGTGTGAACATTTCAAGAAAAACCCCCATTGAAATATATAAAAATCTGTGAAAACAGATGTTTTTCGAAATTCGGCATTATTTAGGAGGCTGCATATCAATGTTATTATTGAGTTTAATGATTTTTTCATCGTGTACACCACATGCAATTTGGAGGATCTAAATCTATTCAAAATAAGGATCAAACAATTAATCCAACTATAGTTAAACGATTTGAAATACACATTGAAGCGTTCAAATGTGTTGCTTTATTCTTGAGGTGGTTCGGCAGTAGGACCAGGACCAGTTACTAGTGGACCATGGACACCTGGACCACCAACGCAAGGACCTGGTGGTTCAAGCGAAGAATGCAACAAGTGCCGTCAATACGAACAGATGAATCTATGTACCAACCCTCAATTTAAATCAACCATGGATATATGTGGTCAACATTGTGGGTCATGTGGTGGCGGACCAGGAACAGGAGGATCTGGAACTGGAGGAAGTGGCGGAACAGGGGGAACAGGTGGTACAAGTGAAGAATGCAATAAGTGCAAGCAATATGAACAGATGAACTTGTGTAGCAACCCAACATTTAAGACAACAATGGATATTTGTGGTCAACAATGCGGTTCCTGTGGTGGCGGGAGTGGAACAGGTGGAGGTCGACCGGGAACAGGAGGACCTGGGACTGGAGGAAGTGGCGGAACAGGGGGAACAGGTGGTACAACGGAAGAATGCAATAAGTGCAAGCAATATGAACAGATGAACTTGTGTAGCAACCCAACCTTTAAGACAACAATGGATATTTGTGGTCAACAATGCGGTTCCTGTGGTGGCGGGAGTGGAACAGGTGGAGGTCGACCGGGAACAGGAGGACCTGGAACTGGAGGAAGTGGCGGAACAGGGGGAACAGGTGGTACAACGGAAGAATGCAATAAGTGCAAGCAATATGAACAGATGAACTTGTGTAGCAACCCAACGTTTAAGACAACAATGGAAATTTGTGGTCAACAATGCGGATCTTGTGGAGGCGCAACTGGGGGAAGTGGAATAGGTGGAGGTCGACCAGGAAGTGGAGGTTCTGGAAATGGCGGAACAAGTGAAGAGTGTACAAAATGCAAACAGTATGAAGATATGAACCTTTGTAGTAACCCAACATTCCAAACTACAATGCAAATCTGTAATCAGCAATGTGGTTCGTGTGGAAGAGGAGGCAGTGGTGGTATTGGAACAGGTGGCTCTGGAACAGGCGGTGGTTGGCCAGGAAGTGGAGGTTCTGGAACTAGCGGGACGAGTGAAGAGTGTAAAAAATGCAAGCAGTACGAAGATATGAACCTTTGTAGTAACCCGACATTCCAAACTACAATGCAAATCTGTAGTCAGCAATGTGGTTCGTGTGGAAGGGGAGGCAGTGGTAGTATTGGAACAGGTGGCTCCGGAACAGGCGGTGGTTGGCCCGGCAATGGAAGTGGAGCAGGCGGTGGTTGGCCCGGAAGTGGAAGTGGGACAGGCGGTGGTTGGCCAGGAAGTGGAAGTGGAACAGGTGGTGGTTTTCCAGGGAGTGGAACTGGCGGCGGTTGGCCAGGAAGTGGAAGTGGAACAGGTGGTGGTTGGCCAGGAAGTGGAAGTGGAACAGGTGGTGGTTTTCCAGGGAGTGGAAGTGGGACTGGCGGCGGTTGGCCAGGAAGTGGAAGTGGAACTGGCGGTGGTTGGCCTGGATCAGGAGGAAATTGGCAAGGGAAACGAAAATAAAACTTTCATATGTGACTTTGAAGTATTTATACATAATGTATACTCGTTGTGTTAAAATACAGCTTAAAGGTAACTTATCAGATATATTTTGCAACTTCACAAAAAGTCTGTCAACTTAAGACTAATTTCTGCTCACACTTATCGAATCCCCATTGTGCACACTTGATTTGAGGGAAACTAAAGATTTTTACAAAAGCGTATTACTTCATCCATATATGTGTTTGCCTGAGAATTTAAACATGGGCTCGAACTGCAGCAATTGATAAAAGATTTAAGCCCTGGACTGAGTGCATTGTGTGCTGAATCATTCCTCTTTAATGTGTTGTCTTCAAATCTTTGCATGGCCATGCAGCGGGAATGCAACGTTTAGGAAACAGCGCCCGAGTGAATGAATCAACCACAATGCATTGAGTATTGAGCATAAAGTTTTACAACACATTGCAAAATATTTTATCCAATATCAATTAAAAATTATGAACTGACTTAAAGAATGTATTTACAAGGAAACCTTTTGCATGGTTTGTGTCAGTCGGCATCTTGGATTCTCACCTTGACAACCATACAACACCTACCATTTGACCTGCATAAGCATACAGATTTGTTATTCCCTATGATACTATTTATAGATTCTTACTCAACTATGGAATTAATAAGTTTATCAGTTACATTATATTAGTTCTACTATACTGAAACAAAAAATAGAAATGACTTTGGATGCAGTTTCTGGTTATATGATGCAGAATTTTTTTTGTAAAATATCATGTTCTGGTTGACTAGAATAGGACATACCTTACCTAGTTATGAGTGAATAACATATCGCGGATCCTTTGGGAGGTATTATGGAGTTTAAGCTTGCATATAAAATCGAAACGCCAACCTATACGTATGACTAATACGCCCATACGAATGCATTGTTTAAATATTTTCCGTTCACGTTTAGGTTGTGAAAAACATTGAAAGACTCCCTATTAGGGAGTTGATGTTTGCATATGAGTTTGAAAAAGCAACCTATAGATACGTATGACCAATCGCCCATACGAATGTATCGCTTAAATATTTTCCGTTAAAGTTTAGGTAAATTGTGAAAAACATAGCCTAAACTACATATTATATTTGAGATGGTGGAGAATATATAGATAGGTCAATCGGATGTGATGCATGCAAATATGTTAACCCATATAGCTCAGATTTTGGCTTTTAAAAACCATTCGTCATTAGAAACAGGTTTCAATTCTTAGAATTTAAAGTTTAAGGAAACCCAACCCCGCCTGCTTTGAAGAGTTCTTACATATTTTTATGAGAGTTCAAGTTGGTTATAGAATTAGTAAATGTGTATTTTGACAAATCAGGATGCACTTTTCTATAAAACTAGATGAAGAAGTAGTAGTAATTAGAAGTTAGTAGAGCAAGTAATTAGCAGTCAGGCATAAGGGCAGATATTGCGTGTCCAACTGTTATAGCAACAGATTTTGCCTCACTCTCAGTCATGAAAGGGAAAATGGGTAAACTCAAGATGTTTTTACAAAGTTCTTCAGATATCGGACATGGCTTTTTGACGCATGGTAAGTAGTTAAACATGTCTTGAAGGTGTAGAGGTTTAGGCCACTGTATTCGTGTCTCCAGTCCCGCTCTTTCTAGTTCATCTCTTAGAGTGTCACGACTGATCTTGTTCACAATCACGGTATACACGGCATATATGTGGTCGTTATACGATGGCGGAGAAGGCAGCGTTAATACAGTCTGATCGCTCAGGTATTTCTCGTAAATTGCAGCTACATCTTTTCTCGACTGAAGTGACTTCTCATAGTGATTCGATTTCATCTTGGTCAGTAAAATCCCGGCTTGGATGGTATCTAGTTTTGAGTTCATTCCAAGCATTACATGTTCATATCGGCCTACCATTCCATGACGACTAATGATTCTCATCTTGGTCGCTAGGTTAGTGTCACTGGTGAAAATTGCACCCCCGTCACCATAGCAACCCAGCGGTTTCATCGGGTAAAAACTAGTGCATGCAATCTTCGAAAAGTTGCAACTTCGTTTGCCATTTTTCTTCGCACCAAAGCTGTGGGATGCGTCCTCAATTAGCGTCACATCCTGACGGTTACTGGATTTCAACAATCCTTCGATACCATCTAAGTCCGCAATCAAACCATACACACTCACGGCAATGATGGCTTTCGTTTTGGACGTAATTGCATCTTTTATGAGGTTCACGTTGATATTAAAGGTGTCGGCAGTGACATCAACGAATACTGGAGTGGCGCCTAGTATACACAATCCCTCAACTGTAGCCATGCATGTAAAGCTTGGTACAATCACTTCGTCTCCCCTGGTCACATCCAGTGCCATCATTGCTATTTGGAGAGCATCTGTTCCACTCCCAACTGCAATACAGTGTTCAACACCAACATAACCTGTCAAAGTAGTATTCAACATTGTAAGTCACATCTACATGTACATGTAAATGGTTGGATTTAGATTATTATCATTTGTTTTAATTATTTATATCAATATAGATTATGACAAAAGTAGCTCATTACATTTATCACATTGACGAAGAGCAGGTATGGAAACCAAGATAGTTTTGCTTCAGAGATATATATAAGAGGATTCATTTGTACTGATGCTCTTTTAGTGCCAAACATACATCCAACATACAATTTACAGTAACATTAAAAATAGCAATAAAGTAAAGAAAATAGGATTACATTCTTCAAATGACATATAAAATGTTACTTTGATATAAAAATCCTGATACTGTTAATGGATTATTTTATGATTAAACATTTTATTTGAATTTACAATAAACTCAACCATTGTCCAATTGCACCTGTGGATCGAAATTCTTTGTTTTCTTGTGTGGTTCATTGAATTACAAAATTACTCTTTTTTATCTTATCGTTTCAAATCAACTCTCAAATTGAAGTTTTCTAATTATATAAAAATTCTACAAGAATAAAAATAAATGTATTGAAAAAACGTATATGCTATTTTCGTTTTTCAATACCTGTCAACATATGCTTTGAAATATTTCTAAAATGTACTCGCGTTGTTTATTTAAATTGTCGAACATGGGTGTGTCATGCAATCGTCGTATACTACAATCATGTGTACAACGTACCTCTAGCAGATTCATCGTCATTAATAGTCGCTTTGAAATTTTATATTCTAAAAGTTCATCAGGCTGGATAGTAAATCACTAAATTTAAAATAAAGGTTGTGTAAAGAAGAAAATTGATTTACAGCCCATTTAAAGAATTTTAGCCATGTCAATCATTTTGAAAATACTATGGCAGAGAAGCATCAAAATATAAGAAGCCACACACTTTATTAGCCAAACTAGAAGCAATCCAAGATAAACAAATGTCGTTTAGGTACAATAGGAATATATTTTTCCATATATTATTTTCTTTTCTTATTTTCTAGGTTTTACTGACGCAATAAAACAGTGAAATGGGATGTAGTGATAAATTATGTTTTCATTTCCCATCCTGCAAATTATTTGTATACCTTCAAAATAAAAATAAATAAAACCTGCTAAAACCGACTCTAATTCTCCGACCTCTGGACCTAGTACGTAATTCCCCTCTTGTAGTATACGCTCTGTCGTAACACTAACCTCTCTCCCAATTTCGTTCCATTCTGAAGAGAGAGTGAACATTGGTGGCAATTTTTGCGAGTCTTGTTTCTCTTGAGATGCTGTGCCTTTGCTCAAAGACATACTGTCCTTGCTTACTTTCACACTTAAAGTATCTGAAAAGTGATATAAACTGCGCATGCGCCCCGACGTGAATAAACTATGAAAATAAAATCCCCTCAATTATCATTATAAGAATGATATTGAATATAGATGACAACCGAATTCATTAAAACTTCAAATAACTTTGAGATATATACTAGGCAAATGTTACCCTTTGAGAATGATGAGTCAATTGACTAATAAGAATAATCATAGAATACACCAACATGTGCATTTGACAAAGGATGGGTATATGAAATGATGGTATTTTACATCATTTACGTACAACATTTTGATAAATAATCGTCAGTTTGGCATACTCTCTTTATCTGTGATAAAAATAACGAAGGGTAAATTTTGACTGATAACACATTATAGATAATTTAATTGTTTTAAAGGTTTAGCCACTGGCTTTACGCTCACTTGTCCAGATATCGTTGATAAAAATGATATCACTCAAAATCATAGGATATCCTAAAAATCGATAATATCTACATGTCTTCTAAAGTATAAATGTTTTCTTCAAAACTAATGAAACAGATTATTAAAAAGTTAGGACATGTCTTCACAAAAATTCATATCATGCAATCGGAATATCTTCAGATTCATCAAAAGTCTTAGATATCATATATCGTCTCGAGCAGTTTTGGGGTTCATATGCTATACATCAAATGACTGCACAGAAAAAAGAAATTGCCTTTCTAATTTTCTACCACGCGAGCATTAGTTTTTTGGTCTGTATTAAAAACATGTGGAATGTGATGGGGACTTTGATTTTTGAATCCGCTAAAAAATATTATGTAAACGTTTTGTTCATAATTGTACTTTCTTAGCTGTTCCTTTCACTTCAACTATGCGGTAGCTATTACCAACCATGTTTTAAAATGCATATTTGACAAGCTTGTATTGCTCACAAGGAAACTGTTCATACTCTTTGGACGAAGAAATATACCAGAATCCCAAACCCTGGGACAATAATGTCTAAGGAATTCCCGACCCTCCCGCGCAGATGCCTCACGCAAACCGTTGAATGGTACATAACGTTTACACAAAATCCAGTTGTTGTCTCGATATGAAAAAGTAAAATGGAATAAGTGTTGTTTATTAACTCTCTCGCCTTAAATAATTGAAGGTGCAGACAGATCAATGATTTTCATAAATAATGCATATTCTTTGACATTCCGCTGAATGGTGAAAACAGAGTACTGGGTGTTAGAAATTATTGCTTCGGTACTTTCGGATCAAGCCGCTTAATAACCGCATTTTTCATAACACTAACGGACAGGGTGGGGGGGAGGGGGTGTCAGATGACCCCCCCCCCACTAGCGTTTCTAGAGGTACAGTAAAAACTAAGGTGCCGACATTATTGATCATTCAAAACTCTCGAGGAAGTGTATTAAAATCTCAATTAGTAGGTAGTAGCAAAGGTACGTTAAACTAAACCTGATGGGCGGTTATTCTATATGGATTATATTCTATACGGATGTTGACCCTTTGAATTGCCTATGGACTTCGAGACTGGATTGTATCTATCCCACATCATTTGAGACTGAATACTCTATCTTTTATGAGTACTTGTATCTACAACTATTTTTGATGTTTATGAGTATTGGCTATTGATTTTTCAATTTTTCTTCAACATGTATTGTAATGACTTCAGATTGAATGAAATGTCCCTTGCTGTTCTGGTCCTGGATTGTGATATTGGTTCTCGATTGAAGGGGGGGGGGGGGGAGGGGGATGTTAGACATTGTTTCTTTTCACGTTAGATCATGGTTTTGGGATATATAGGGTCTACTTTTCTTATGACAGATTTACACTTACAGTCTGCTTTTCTTGTTGGGTTTCCTTAGATGTTTTAGACACCCTTCCCTTTTGGCATTTGTGTATATATCCACACATACTCCGTACTACCAAAATCGGCTGCCATACCAAACCAGTACTGCTGTAGTCTAGAATGATCATACGATAAACATTTTTTTGACACCATGTACCTTCAAGTCCAACTCAATTTGACACATAGATATGTTGATATCGGGTGACTAGTCGAACAGTAATGGGCCCGCAATAACAGAAAATGTTTAACGTTGTTTTGACGGTTGTTTTCTGCATCAACACGCTGGTTCAAAGTTACATATACAATGACCATGGTAAGACATTCTCATATTTTTTTAGTAATATACGTTTTTTCGTCATTCATTGGATAAATGCATGAATTACAATAAACAAAATGTAATAATGTTAATCGACCTAAGTTATTACAGACATATTCATCACCAATAAAATAATACATTTTGGGTAAAAACTTGATTGGAAAATAAGTGTAAGAAGCAAGTTGATAAATGTGATAACAAAAGTGAATGAATAAAACGGATGAAATTATTTTAATGACTTTAAGGTGACATTTTTTAAATATTTGACTTGAGTTGATTTGGGTGATAACAGTCTGTTTAATGAAAGTCAGAAAAATTGTAAAATAGAGCGTTGTGGTGCTAATTTATATAAAATGTACATGGTGTATTCGCGTGATTGATTCCTGGAGCAAAATTTTATTTCAGGTACACATAACTCAGTCCAAGCATGCTGTACAAGTTCTGTAAAAAACACTGCATAATTACACTTAGTTGAGTATATAGATATTCTGGATATGGAAAAAGGATAAGATTCAGTGATTCATATTTTTATACTTTTAAAACGTAAGCCAATGAATAGTCAGTTTTGATAAAACACTTCGTAAATATCACAATTAGTTGAGTATATAGATATTCTGGATATGGAAAAAGGATAAGATTCAGTGATTCATATTTTTATACTTTTAAAACGTAGGCCAATGAATAGTCAGTTTTGATAAAACACTTCGTAAATATCACAATTAGTTGAGTATATAGATATTCTGGATATGGAAAAAGGATAAGATTCAGTGATATTTATTTTGACGTGTCGCAAAAAGGTGGCGCATTTGTTTTTTAAGGGTATCGCGTGAATGTAACTTTGATTCCCCGGATTATAAGATGATATTCTATTTAAATTTATATATCATTTTAAAGCTGTTTCGATGAAGTTTTTAGATCAACTACACCCCGTTCACGATTCTTGCGCGTTCTTTTTTAAAAAAGAGTTTTTTACCAAAACATCTGGCAAATATTCCCTGTTGACATGTTACATTTTGAATTATTTTTCGTCTTTAAACGCTCATAACTCAAACAATATATGACTATTATACTTATTTTTCGTCTTGATAAAGGTAGATGGGAGTTTTATTTCAAAGGATGAATTTTAGTAAGCGTCCCATATTGTGACGTCATAGAGTTTAAAATATAGAATCTGTTGACAGCGACCATTTTTGCTCATTTTTTGTTACCTTCAGCTTTTCAGGTGTACACTAAACAAAAAATACGAGATCAATTTTAATAAATTATACATAATTATTTTGCTCTTAAACTCTAGCTTATTAATAAATAGTTGATTTTGTTTGCAAAAGTATGTGTTTTCTGTTGTATGTGGAAAAGTGGAGGACGAAAAGGTTTTCAAAATTCATTAAAATAGAGCTAATTTACGCCATTCGCCTATTTTCAAGCACAGCAACACGTATATTTATTTCACCTAAAATATCAATTGATTCGTGTTTTATGATGCTCCTATCCCATTGTTAATACATATACGATATCAAAGTTATTCGCCTTAAATATTTTGAGATATAGAGGCAAATGTGGAGGACGAAAGGATTTCCATATGTGTACATTTTTCTCAAAAAAACGTCACATTCTGTGGTGTTAAAAAGCGAAAATGTGTAACAATGCGTGCGCGACCTTTTTGCGACACGTCTTTATATTTTTAAAACGTAGGCCAATGAATAAGTTTTGATAAAACACTTCGTAAATATCACAATTAGTTGAGTATATAGATATTCTGGATATGGAAAAAGGATAAGATTCAGTGATCCATATTTTTATACTTTTAAAACGTAGGCCAATGAATAGTCAGTTTTGATAAAACACTTCGTAAATATCAAAATTAGTTGAGTATATAGATATTCTGGATATGGAAAAAGGATAAGATTCAGTGATCCATATTTTTAAACTTTTAAAACGCAGGCCAATGAATAGTCAGTTTTGATAAAACACTTCGTAAATATCACAATTAGTTGAGCATATAGATATTCTAGATGTGGAAAGGGGATATAACTCAGTAATAGTGTATATTTCTTATACTTTTAGAACGTAGGTCAATGATTTTTTTTATTTTACGAAGCGACACGACACACATAATGAATAATTAACACGTTTATTTGAAATGAATTCAACTTGCTCTTTGGGGTAAAGGCTATCATACATTATTAATTCTTATTTTGTCATTGTAGTGTATCGCGTTCCTGAACAGCTTGTTCATTGGAGCTTCCGAAAAGTTCATTTCATGAATTATGTATGATATTTTTGGTTGTTATGTTGCCAAAAAGTTTGTTTTGCCATGTGATGGTAGTTGCTAATTGTACAATGTAGCCCTCAAACTAAAATACAGCAGGATTTGATTTTCTGAATACTAGAGTAGTAATCTATAAGTTATCCAATATATAGAGATTATCCCATATGAGGTTCAGGATATTAGGATTATTCCGAGGCCTATGTAATATATCTACCCGAGGGCCATAGGTCCCGAGGGTAGATATATTATATTGGCCAAGGGATAATCAAAATCATATTTCCTATAGTCGGTCCAGGATATATATATTTTAATATAATTTTAATATATCTTTTTAATATAATATATTTTCCTCGGGACCTGCGGCCCTCGGGCAAATATATTGTATTGGCCTCGGGATAATCCCAATATCCTGAACCTCATATAGGATAATCTCTATACATGCGGCTGAGGTTAGCGGTAGATATATATATATTAATTATATCATCGAAATGTTTCTCGCTTTTTTATTGGATAAGAACCGATCACATGATTAAAAATATAAGGGTGTATTTCATTTTTTCCTCAATAGAATGGAATATTTGGTATATATATCACGCGCTCAACAATGCCCGGGAATTTCGTTCTATGTAAAAGCCGTAGAGTTTTAAAAAACAATAAGACCGTTACATTTAGATAAGATATTCATGTTTTGATTGTAGTTATCATTTGTAATTATTACATGAGGGTTCCACAACATTCAATGCATACTTACATGTAATAATCTACTAATCTTCAAAAGCTACTATTAGTATAGGATAAATCAGTTATTAAATGCTCGATTTTTGATACAGGGTATATCCCTCGGTAAAAACAATATATCAACCCTCGGTCCATACTTTTCCTAGAGTAGATATATATTGTATTTCTCTCAGATAAACCCTGTATCAAAAACCTCCCATTAAATAACCTCTTTATATTAGCTCCTTACTAAACCTTTTAAATATATTCCAGCATATCTGGGATGTTTTGATGATACTGCCGATAGAGACTTGGCTGGTATACAGGCCGGTCTTAATCGAAATAGTAGATGGGATTGTATAACAAGTTGCAAGGCACGGGGGTTTTCCTATTCGGGTAAGTTTATCTCTTGCAATTGAACCTATATGAGTGTATGTTTATCACGGGGGTAAAGCAGACCCGATGATGCAATGAGCTTGCTCGGCGGTATCATGGCTGTGTAACGGTCTTAATGTATAAGTGTGCTCGGCGGTAGGTTTAAACAACGCGGATCCTCAAAGTATTGTGCTCATGGTATATTCGTGTTTTAACACCCGTGTTTATATCACTATACCATAAGCGGTATAGAAGCTCATTGCAGCGTGCCGTCTTCATTGCATTAGGATTAGGGACTATTTATCTAATTGGAGCGTCTCTTTGTCCCATAAACTAGTACTTCGACCAGTTTAGCCCCATCCGCTTTAATTCTGTCGTCGTTCGTCTTTATTGGCAAGACTGGGGTTAACAGCCATGGATATTTCCTATATAATAATCTTATGATTTTGAAGTTAATAGAGGAGTTTCTAAATGATTTTGAAATCTCGCTAATTCTCGTTTTTTCATGAGCTTTTAAGAGATTTGCACATTTTACCTCCAATGACTTACTTTTCTTTCTTTTTAATATCAAATTTGAATTCAGTGATATGTTTCCTACAATAATAGCTTTGATTTACACATTTATGTCATTTAAATCATTCTCCATGACTTTTTAAAAAGATTTGGGCCAAATCTCCATTGATGTTATGCTAAAATTCTTTAAAACCATGGTTTAATCGTATGACAACCAACATTTTCATATTTAATCATAATATGTTCATTGAGAGGGTCATTTAATAGTATGTCATTCAAATTTCAGATTTAACTACCTAGCGCGCCTACTCAAAAGTCAAGTTACCATTTAAGCCATTATTTTTGACCAATCAAATACGTGATGCTGGTGATATTTAAGGAATCAATAACCACATGGTATTGCATGTTATATGAAAAACGTGAAAAAGTATCTAAAACTAAAAAAAGATTTTGAAATAAGAGCATTTTTCTTCGAACTTATTGAACGACCTAATTTTTCATTTAGGGAACCAAGATGCCTCTACATGCTGGTGTGGAAATTCATACGGAAAGCACGGACAGGTTGACCAATCAGAATGCAGTATGATGTGCAATGCTGACGGAAACACACAGACGTGTGGCGCGACTTATAAGAACATCGTATACGACACTGGGTTCAGAATGGAAGGTGAGATTTCGCGTGGATTTTGAATAGAGAAGAAATTGAGATTTATTCGTATTTGAATTGATTCTTGTATCATTTTACCCAAGATTATTTTAAAAATCTTCAATATGACCAAAATGAGTTTCTTCTATGCTCATGATGATGCAATTAACTTTTCTACAACGGGATAAACGTGTTATTTGGCAGTGTTGTGTCATATGTTTGGTTAGATATCGAGACATTGCAAATTTTGTCGATGTGTTTTTCTATAACTCCGTTGAGCTGTTTTGCACATTTTTGGATTATTCTCTATTTGGTTTAATCTCTAAATATTTAATTTAATGTGGATTTAGTTTTAAAGATGACGTGATATGTACGGTAAAGCATAGGGGTGATGATTTAATTGATGACTCTCCATCTTTAGATCAACATATCAATGTTTTTATATCACATTTCTACAATTACGCACCAATATTCAACTTGAATGGATTCTATACTGAAATGACATTTTTAATATATTATTGTTGTTGGACTTCTCTCAATGATCAACAATATAGGGACAGCATCTTGTCCATTCAAAGGTAAGCCATACAACCGAAGGTAAGCCATACAACCGAATTTTGGCGATTCAATCTGAGGGAGAATGCCGAGCCTCTCTTTTTGACCAATTGGAGACGTCCTCTTCACAATCGTGGTACCCTCGGCCAACTTCGTTTGCAAAGAAAATCTTCGGCAATCTCCGGCTTTTCTTGAGGTATCTTCGGTTGCAAGCCAAAGGTCGACACCCCAACAATATATGGTTGCATAATCAGGATTATTCGCGTAACATTATCTCATGTTCACGTAATCGGCTATTTAATATATTTTTTATTTATATAATAAATTCTATAAGAGCTCACACGTGTTCTTTGGATATAACAATAGATTACATAAATGATGCACATTGTGAAAGTGAAAAAACATAAATTTCAAAAAACAATAACATTTCAAGAAAATCGGTTAGCTATTTTATTATCCAATGAGCAAACTGAGTTTTTATATCAAACTTATGTACAGTTTATTTGGGTATGAATACATGTAACTACCCAAGTCAAACTTTTAATTCCACCCTGAACTTTTTCACTTCTTCTATTGTAGAGGATCGTGTTAGTGCAGATGTCGCAAAGCTTTCATCAGGAGCTACAGTAGAATGTTCTGCTACATGGAACTGCAATAACACGATAGATGGCGAGACCAGAGCCATTGATGATAGCATGTGGAAAGCCCACTCCCACTCTGGTACACCTTCAATATATTTGATTTCATATAATTGAATAAAAGATTCACTTTTTATTTACATGTGGAATTATCAATTCTGATTTTGCAAGTTTACTTAGTAAATTTACTATTAAATAAATTAAGTATTATCAGAATAGTTACATAGTACTCATTACATTAGCAATCTTTCAATTAAGATAAATTCTATAAAAAGTTTAAGGTCAGTAGAAATTACTGATATTCAATAAGAAATGAAGAGGAATTCGAATCGTGCATGTTTTTATCCCGGTTTTTTTATATGTCCCAGAGCTTAAATAGTATTGATGTAGCAAATGACTGAATGAATGGTTATGGAATGAAAAATACTCGATTTGTTATTTTCTAAAAGGTGCTAGTATCATGTTTAAATGAATAACAAATAAAACAGAATGTTCAATATTGTTTATTGTACCTTCAATTTAGACATGTGGAAACTGTTGGTATCTGGAGACGCTCATCACGTTGACGATTCGGCTTTAACATCATCTGGTTACTATAACAATGATTTGGCATATGGACCAATCAGATCCAGACTCGATACTCCAGAAATGTAAGTAATGTCCTTTTTACAATGATAATTGAGCCAGGCCACAGGAAAAGGGATCTTATCACCGTTTTTTGTTTATCTTAAAAATCACAAAGAGACCTTTCAAATGCGCCATGGCTTATGTCTTAACAGTTTTTCCTTGCATATATAGACCAAAACGTCGGATTTGAGTTTAGCACATTTTCCTCTTAATCTTGGGCACATTTCTGGCTCTGTAGCACAATTCTAATTTTTGTGATACGACCAGTTTTCCTATGGCCAGGCTCAATTGTTGATAATTTGCAATGATAAAGGATGAGTCTGGGGATGAGTCTGGGAACGAGTCTGGGTATCGACTTAGAAAATATTGAAAATTGTAATGTCTGAAAAACCAACTCAATCACACATATTATTAAACTTCAATATCTTATCCTTCTTATGAGATTACAAAAATATCAATTTGTATCACAATTGATGAAGAATATTGGGATCAAAGACAGTGCATATCACTTTGTCAGAATTGAAAAAAAAACAATGGCAAATATTAAATGAATGATTTATACAAAAAGTTTGAAACATATCCTCCAAAACATTGCTTACTTTCTTTGTATAGACATTGAATGGTATTTCTGGATAAGTGAATTGGTGTTTATCTGGGTAATCAAGGGATTATAGTCACTCAAAGGTACTGAGCATCCAGTTTTGACACTTCAATTGTGTTGGTGAAGTTACACATATTTCAGTGAAATTCAGGCTGAGCACAACATTTTGGTTTCAATTTTATAATCTCTATACATGACCCTGGTGATGAGGAGTCAGAATCAGTCAAAAAACCTAAACCGGAAAACTGTGCTCAATGTGAAAACTAAAAGTGAAGCAACTTTTTTTCTTATATTTCTTACACCAAATGGCAGCCATCTTGTTTTCCCCCTTCAAATTAAACTGGCGGGAAATTCAAAAATTTGAAAAAAAATTTAATCCTTAAATATATTTCAAAATATGATTTTCTTTTTAATTCTTCACGGATCTTAAGTTATTTCTTCTTTGTATGTCATACATGTTGCCATTGGTGTTTTTTTCTATGATAATGATCCTTTTTTATTTGTTAAGATACTTATTCTGACTCTCAGCAGGGGGTTAATTATGCATCAAAACTCGTGATAAAGTAAATATACTTATCAAATATAACTAGGACAGTAATAAAAACCATATTTCACATACATTTGACTGAGGGACCAAAAGGGCATATATCCAGACACATCCTTTTCAATGAGAATTGCACTACTTATTATGGCATGGGTAAAATTTTTTGATTCGCAACAGAAGATGTCCAAAGATACGCCAACCATTATTTTATTTATTCTATCGATGATGTTGTGATTTCAAAGCTTTTCAGTGATATAGTAAGTTCAAAGTGTTTCAATGATGTTGTGAGTGCAAAGTATTTCGATGATGTTGTGAGTCCAAAGTCTTTCGATGATGTTGTTAGTTCGAAATCTTTCAATGCTGTTTTGAGTTCAGTCTTTGAATGATATGGTGAGTTCAAAGTCTTTCTATGATGTTGTGAGTTACGTACCATAATCAATTAATATATTTGGGTTAACTTTAATTCAGGATTTCATATAATGACCTTTTATGTAGTTTTTCGAAAGAAATAAGAGAAATATGTAATTATTATATAATATTGTGTATTTATGAATGTCTATTGAATCTTTAAAGAGATTCAACTATAGGTCGAGGGGGCTGGGTGCCTTCAGTTCTCGATGACGCTCAGTGGGTCCAGGTTGACCTTGGTGAGGCTATGATAGTGAGGGGGATAATCACTCAGGGAAGAGATACTGATGGTGCATTCTACCAATGGGTCACATCTTACAAGCTGTTCTATGGTACCATTGAGAGTAGCTTGCAAGAATATGGAACGGTAATACATATAATTTACATATACATAAGAGATACTGATGGTGCATTCTACCAATGGGTCACATCTTACTAGCTGTTCTATGGTACCATTGAGAGTAGCTTGCAAGAATATGAAACGGTAATAGATATAATTTACATATACATAAGATATACTGATGGTGCATTCTACCAATGGATCACCTCTTACAAGCTGTTCGATGGTAAGAGCCACTTGCAAGAATATGAAACGGTAATACATGTAATATACATATACATAAGAGATACTGATGGTGCATTTTTCCAATGGGTCACATCTTACAAGCTGTTCTATGGTACCATTGAGAGTAGCTTGCAAGAATATGAAACGGTAATAGATATAATTTACATATACATAAGATATACTGATGGTGCATTCTACCAATGGATCACCTCTTACAAGCTGTTCGATGGTAAGAGCCACTTGCAAGAATATGAAACGGTATAATACATTTACATTTATGCATTTACATTTATGCAATGACACCTTGCCTAACTTTTATCTATTGAAAGTCAGTCGAACAGATTGTAAATATAACTATAATGTAGTAGAGATAGTTTTTAAAAAGCAAAATACAAAGAAATTCTAAAATGAGTGATTATTATAGTACTTCGAAGCAATATTGTGAATGTAAATGTCTAGCCGATTTTAAATGTTCCAAGAATAAAGATAACAACAAGGATAATTCTAAAGCTACTTATGGAATATCAGTATGTATAAAATGTATGATTCAAATATAAACGCATGTTTTAGGAATCAATGTATAGTAAAATCATTCAAAAATATTTCGATAAACTTTATGTCTCAGTAATTTTATTAACTTCCCGCGGCATATTTTTTGTGAATTTAAGATTTTAAAGGGGAATAGAGATACAGACACCAAGGTTGAACGACTCCTCGAACCATCTGTAGAAGCTCAATACGTTCGAATCAATCCTCAAACCTACCATGGTAATATCGGCATGAGATTTGATGTAATTGGAAGCCCAATAGGTACTGTATTACAATAATAGTATCAATTTTTGGATCAAGCCTAATGCATTACTATTATAATAGCCCACTCAATGCCAAAAATAATTTTACGGTACCAATAATAAGAGGCAACACATTGTTATATCAATTGTTTGTGACTGGTGTTCGGCGTTCGGTGTTTGTAACAAATGGTAACAGTTTTGTTACTGCAACTATGTGGTGAGACTTAACCATGTAAATGTCTTGTATAGCCTTATTTTATTTCCGTTTTGGAATTTAGACAAATGCAATGAACGACTGGTTTCCGGAAATGTCTACAATGTTGAGGATTCGGCAATTTCTGCATCGGGTGTCTATAATATGATTGTCAGTTATGGAACAAAGAGTTCAAGAATAGGTTTGGAGCAGTAAGTTGTTAATGCTTGTAAAGTTCCCATAATAGTTTAACCCTAATGTCTGCAGAGGGTGTGGTCAACTTGACCCCCTCGTTTTTTCAATTTTACTTTTTTGTTTCTTTTGTTTTGATACAAATTGCCACTCGAAAGTTTGTCCAGTAACTTTGAAAATGTATATATTAACTAACTAAAGGGTGCCTGATCAGATTTTGTTGGATGCATTGCGTGATTTTATCTCTCTCGATGAAGATATTTGATATTTATTTTGAGCGTATGTTTAATATTATCCCCTCTGAATTAAATAGGAACATTAAGGAGGGCGAGTTGTTTGTAGAATGAATCGGGGGATTTTTTTCATGAATTTCGCTTATGTTTTTCATCCAAAAAACATCAATACACTTTAAAACATTTTTTTTACTTTAAGATTACACCATGTAATCCAAAAATATATTTCTCATTTTCAAAGATAATCCATGGATTAACACCCAGGTATTTTTATTTTTCAATCTTCAGAGGGCTGGGAATCAATGATGCTCAACGCTTTTGAATACGATAAATGCTGTTTTAAATAGGTTTTACGTATGCCAATAATTTCTCAGATTATGTAAGCTGAATGCATTCCATAATCCCTAGAATATTCACTTGGAGGAATCCAATGGTAGTTCCAAGCAGATTTTTAGATGGCGGGTAAGTAAATTCTTTAGTACTCGCCTTATTGGGTTGAGTTAGTTTATATTCAAAAATTATATATGATTCTGTAAAGATGTCAGTGTGGATGCTATATGGATTGCACACGTATGGTAAGCTGTATAATCCTATATTATGTAATACAAGTACAGTTTTGGTTGACATGATTGTGACTGAGTGAGAGATTAAACTCTTTAAGGTAGTTCTGCATGTTGATAATTTTTACTAATTTTGGTGATGAATAAATTATCTGATAATTATAAATTGGGCAATATTTTTGACATTTTAAGTGGATATAAAGAATTATGGTAACATACACCATAGACCATGCATACACATACAATTACAAATGTGAAAATATTGTCCCTTTCATTGATTATCGGTATTTATAATCATGAAAATTAGTGAAAATATCGAGACATATCTACCTTAAAATCAGATTGGCTTACAAGTACCCTAAGCTATTTTCACATTTTTATTGCAAGAAAATCTTTTTGCAAGGGTTACAAAGGTTTAAATATTGTGCTGGCTCTATTTGGCTGGAGTTTAATATTCAGACCTAGCTATAGGTATTGTTACATTTATATGTACACTAGTATCTTGTTGACCTATATTCAGCACTGTATTGATGAATGGGCCACTTATTAGGGCCAATATTCAATCATAAAGTGTACAGGGGTAGAGATGCCAAACCAAGAAGTCTTTTTGTGTCTGTCAAAATCCATTTGCATCCTACACATCCCAACATATTATCCAAATATGTTATTAATTAATGAAACATAACAGTATAATCTTTGGATTTACAAAGTTGTATGGGATTTCATTAGTGTAAAAGTTGCTTTTGAAGCATTTTTCTATAGCCATTTTGTAGGAAAAAAATGATGGAAAAAATGTGTAATCTTTTAATTTGAAGTATTACCTGAATCGATTGCAAACTTTATATTTGCACATCTGATGTGATATACCATTTGTGTCATACTGTGAAATTATTTAATTTGCAATCGATTCAGGTACTAGTGTATTTTAGGTATTTTTGTGAAAATCAATAGAAACCAATGGCCTCTATTGGAATTGATGATATCCACATGTTAAGTCAATGGAGCCCATTCAATGGCAAGTCAATACACCCTTGCTGAACTAAATGACCTCAACCTCAGCCCATGTGGGTCCAAACGTTCAAATATTTTCCACAGTATTATGTGACATTGTATTCTTTATGTTACACCTAAAAATGATTCATTTTGTTCATGGGGATATCATAATGGAAAGTGCACTAGACCCTTATTGTAATTGTATGATATCGTATTTGTGATTTGAATATACACTGTGATATTTGAGAAAAAGAATGTTTTGTTTTAGTTTCATTGCAATTTATAACCCTAATATCTTAAAACCAGAATCCTTCCTTGTCTTCCAATTTTCTAATAACCTCAGAAGTTCCTACTTTTTAAAAAAAATACAATTTTCCATGATCATTTTTATGTCACCGCCACAACTTTTTTGTGGACGGTGTTCAGTGGTTGGTGTTTATCATTTGGCAGTTGGTGTTTGGCAGTTGGTGTCTGTAACAAATGGCAGGTGTTGACATTTTGCATGTGAATGCCTTGTCTTATAATGTAGCCAACTGCAATGGATGTAAAACGGATACAGTTAACTAATATATTTCTTGGCATCAATTCAAATCATATGCTAATTTTAAATGAAAATGCTTTTTTTCATGTTTTACCACTCATAAATGCCATAATATCTCGATGTCACATTCAGGAAAATATGGCTATCAACAAGTTTTGAATTCTTACAATCCTGGAAGTTGTACATGTAAGCATACACATCTGTCAGTTCAGTTTATGTGTAAAAGTTAATCCCCTAAGCCTTAATACCTGATGCATGAAATATTATGGATGAGTTACATAATATGTACTCGTGCTATTTAGGTAAATGTTGTGCTGTTTCACCAGATTTGACTGACATCTTTAAATAACAACAATTTGATTTGATGATCAGACAGCAACAAAACATATTAAGTGACCAAGACAAAAGAATGTTATTATGATAGGCATTCTAGGGATTAAGGAATGCATTCAGCTTACATAATTTGAGAAATTATTGGCATACGTAAAACCTATTAAAAACAGCATTTATCGTATTCAAAAGCGTTGAGCATCATTGATTCCCAGCCCTCTGAAGATTGAAAAATAAAAATACCTGGGTGTTAATCCATGGATTATATTTGAAAATGAGAAATATATTTTTGGATTACATGGTGTAATCTTAAAGTAAACAAAATGTTTTAAAGTGTATTGACGTTTTTTGGATGAAAAACATAAGCGAATTTCATGAAAAAAATCCCCCGATTCATTCTACAAACAACTCGCCCTCCTTTATGCCCAATGATTTTCATATTTTCTTAATTTTGACAGTGTTTTTTATATGAACCATCTAACTTGACCATACACCGTTTGGCTTATTGTATTCATATAGGAAATGGTATTCTGTTAAATCGGCGATTTTGTTGTCTTCTTAGCTATTGCAAACATGTACATTTCCTTAGGGATATGATGCTGACATACGTTCTTGATAAAATATGCCCACAACTCGTGAAATAAGAAAAAAAGAAATATCATACATTCAAGATTGCGAAATTTTGTAACGTAATCGAGTGGAACACCAGGAGAGTTAATACTTCGACCAATACAAAATAAATTTTTACGTGATATGTTTACTTAATTCAAGGCGCATTGCGGCCTGGGCTATTGCAGATGGTGATTCAAACCCTTGGATCCAGGCCGACCTTGGTCAAGTTATGTTAGTAAAAGAAGTTGTTACCCAAGGAAGATCTGGTTCAAATCAGTGGGTGAATTCATACAAAGTTTACTATGGTAACGATGATAACAACCTACAAGAATATGGAACGGTAATAAGATCCTACTATACATAGTTATAGTCTTTGTGGCTAATAAGCAAAGGCTGTGACATACTGACAGCATACTGACAGTGCGCACATTATAACGCCGGCGTTAGCCCTGCAGTGTTTACATTTATCACTTACTAAGTTTAAAAGAGCTTAAATAACACGCCTAACCATCGACAACGTACAGTGACAAAATAAAGCGTCGTACACTTAAGATGTACGGTGTCACTATTCTAACTGATATGAAGCAAAAACGATGATGTTGGTGTGGTGTAGGTTTTAAAAATTAGTCTGAGGAATACTTAAGGGATTTTATGTTTAATTTCGTGTGTATTCGATTTGAAAGACATTTACCTTTCTAATTCCGTGAAAAGATTTTCGGGCAGTGCTCGAGTTTTTTCGTAGTGAATCTACCAACCAACAATGATCGGTTGGAAAATGTTGTTTTTTTCAAATTTTCTTTTGGCCATTCTTTCCCTTGTCGCCTAAAAGTGTCGATTATTTTTATGAGAATATGTTTCCCAAAGTTACATATTAAAGGTCGGTTGACGATTTTATAAATATTCACGTTTTTGCTAAAATATTAAAAATGAAAAAATCATAAGTGTACGTTGTCATCTCGATGTACGTTGTCCCATTGAACTTAAATATCTGAATTCACAGTTAACCCTCATGTAGACATTTTTCATAACACTAAGGGGCAGGGGGATCAGATTCATTTAAAACTGAAGCGGAACAATCCAGTATTACTAATTTAACTTGATTGAACTATTTTGAACCTCTGCACTTTCCAAACATAGCATGAACGGGATTTCGAAAGTCATCTTCGATAAGCTGGTATAGATCTCTCCATGAACCCCTTAAGATTGTTAAAATTCATAAAAGACTTAAGTGCAACATAACGTAACGCACCGACTCCGAATGGCCAAAGAGGTTGGAAGATAACACCCAATGGTCAAATATTAATCACCATATCAACACTTTGATAGAATAAAAAAGCATTCAACAAGAGGTAGAAAATCACTTTTACCTATTTATCTGTACCAGGGATACATGAACATGTTCGTTGAACATCACTTGTTACCCATAAAACCTTTAATGCGTTTTGAAATTAAACCATTGCATTGTTTACATTTCAATTAAAGGGACAACGTACATTGAAGATGACAACGTACATTTTTGATTTTTAAAATTATGCCAAATACATGAATATTTATAAAACCTTCAACTGTCTTAAATTGTGTAGTTTAGAGAAACATATTTTCATAAAAATATTCGGCACTCTTAGACGACAGGGGAGAAAATGATCAAAGAAAATGTGTAAAAAACACATTTTCCAACCGACCAATTGCATGGGTAGATTAACAACGAAAAAAATCGAGTACTGCTCGAAAATCTTTTAACGTAGTTATAAAGGTTAATGTCTTCCAAATCGAATACACACGAAATCAAACATGAAATCCTTTATGTACTCCTCAAATTAATTTTTGAAAACCACAATGAAACCTACATCATAGTTTTCGCTTCAAATCAGTTAATAATGACACCGTAAACTCAAAGTGCACGACGCTATATCTTGTCACTGCACGTTGTCGATGGTTAGGCATGAATACGTAGCAATTGATCGAATAATTTTTTTGGGATGAAACTATTTGGACGTCTCCGAAAATATCCCTTCCTAATCGTTAACTCCACTTTTTACATTTACAGTAATTCATGGCAATTCTAAGATAAAGATAGTTAGAATATAAACACGATCTTTAGAGTAGTGAATGTTATTCCAAGTTGTTGAATGGATAGTCTGTTTAAACTTGATGATTAAATAATACTAAATGCAAATGTAGTACATATTTCTGGCATTTTTGGTATATAATTGCGAATACTGATGAAATGATCGCCAAAATAGATACGTGAGTATGAAGAAGAACATCTTAGGTAGAAGTCAAGTAGTTTGTAAAATATAGAATATTCTTACATTTTTGCTCCATGACGTATTCTATGTTCTTACAAAACACGTCTAAATCGTTTGAAAAAACACGTCCTGAACAATTTCCATTGTTAAGACTTGAGCACCGTGACTTACAGCCGGCGTGAGGTTGAAGCCGCCGTTTTAATTCATGATCTTTTTAGCAGGGTCAATAACACCGGTGATTTATGCAACTCATTTGTGAAAAAACAGCCAAGACATCCAGTTTGTGATGATAACGTCATCTGTAAGCATTTACCACAGGTCACGCAAACCTTCACTGCTCCATTATTGTAAAAATATTGACTTTTACATGCTGATAACGTTACGCCTTTTTCACACGTAAGAAGCGTTTCAATTTATAACCTTGTATTCGTGAATGCAACTAACGCCTGTCGGCTACCTGATTTATTCATTTAGATATGAATGGAATAGTGGCAGGTGCTATTCATATTTAAATGAGTTGCCCATAAAATAGTAGTTTAATGCGGTAGCCGACAGCCGTTCGTTACATTCGCGAATACAAGCTTTAATTGGAGAAAAAAGTGAGTGTTCTTTTGTAGAGTGCGTAGTTATTATTGTATCGTGTATATGTTTGATGGTTTAGATTCTACAAGGGAATAGCGATGATGATACCAAGGTTACAAACCAGCTTAATCCACCTTTAGAAGCCAAATATGTGCGTATCAATCCTCAAACCTGCAATAACCATTGCAGCATGAGATTTGATGTCATCGGCTGTCCAATAGGTATGAGGCCCACATCTAGGGATCCTTTTCTGTAAAAATGGACCCACATCAAGGGTTTTCTTTCAAAAATAGACCCAAAATAGACCCACTTTCAATGACTTAATTCAGTTATCCCTACCATACTGGAACCATCTTTAACATTCCTTCTGTTAGATGATGGTACTAAAGTAGCAGTCACATAAGCTAAGTGGGCTTCAGGTTAACCACCGTGTGGCTAATTTCGGGCATTTGTTTTTTCATTAGTCAAATAATTTAAAAGCTGTGCAGGTATAGCATTTCCGAGACCACATTTTTATGCTGAATCAGTTACAGTATTTCTTACAGTATTTCTAAAAGTAGATCATTTGTTATACAGGGTACTGGCCATCCTACCATGTGAACCATCTCTGACAGACCGTTTATAAATAACATGCTATAATTATAAGAGACACAACAAAAAATGGTTAATACCAATAAATGATTATGGAGGTTTATTTTGCCCACTTTGTTAAGTCAGAATACTCAGATTTTATATAGTTAAATAGTTTCATATGGTAACCAGTTATCCATCTCAAAACTGTTTTTTAAACAACTAAACTTGGATATCACATGTAGCATTTGGAGAGATATTCTTGGCCAGACTAACACTCTAGCTATAACCATTATATACTTTCCATGTTCAGCAAATCACAGAAAAAAGTTTTCGTATGGTCAATATTTATCACTTAAATTGTATTGCTAATTCAAGTTGGCCGCCATATTTTAAGATTTAACACAGGAAGTGATGTCATCGACCCTCATATAGCATCAGGTAAGGAGCTATTAAGAATTACAAAACAAGCTTAATATTAACTTGTTTCAATGCTGGCAATTGTTTAATTCTTTTAAAAATCAGTTCTTTAATTGTATATTGACAAGCCCTGAAAATATTTTTGCACAGAAAGTAAGGACCACTTGTCTAGAAGTGATTCTGTGCTATTTTCCTATTCTGTTATAGGCAAGGTTATGAAAGTTGAAAGTCGATGACACAACTTCCTGGGTGAAATCTTAAAAGATGGCAGCATTTTTGTGGATTGTGGCATTTTTGATTGCTAGAGTAACACGAGTCGGGGGTAGGCGGAGCAGCATTGAAAAAAAGAAAAATGTAGATAAAAAATATGGTTTAGAGGTAACTTTAAAGATTCTCTCAATCTTTATCCAATCAGCGTTTGCGATGTGTATCGGCTCACGTATAAAAGGCGAATCCAACTCAAATCCATGCAGGGGTGTATGGTACTCGAATAGGAAAGAGCTCGTGAAATCTGGATTTATATGCACATGGTCAATGTTTACACATGTTTGGAGTTATTGAAGAAAATGTGATATGGATGTGGTTCCGAATTTGAATCATTGCTGGTAAATATGATTTTAATACGTGAAATTATATCTATAAATACAGCACTAAAAATAACAGTACACATGAAGTACATGTATGATTGTGTCCAGAAATGTTTGAAACCCTTGCGGAAAATTCTGTCTGCATTTTTGTCACCATTGCTCTTTCTTCCCGCATTCTAGTGCTGTTTGAATGAATATATTAATTAATGTATTTCTAACTAAAATATATCACATTTTTTTATAATCCACAAACATTTAGATCATAAAAAAATTTATTCAATACTTGAGTGAGCACAATATGCAGGGGTTACTAAGTTGACACAGTAAATGACCACTGATATTGTGTTAGTCCATGCACACAGCGTATTCTGCTAATACACATTTGCTAACAACCCCACTTTCATAGTGAAGTGACTAATTGGTTTATGTTTACGTTTTGATGTGTTTTGGGTTCCTTGTTACAGCAAGGGGGGCCATTAAAGTAGACTAACATGTTTGCATGGCAAGTTTTGATCGAATATGTGAGACACTTTAACATACTATAAAGTGTCCTTGAAAATACAAAACAAGCCCATGTTGCCATGTCAACACTATTATATGATGACATCATAGTTGAAATTTCTTTGATTCATGATACCACTCATGGTACCATAGTGACCTATATAAGTTGGTGACATCGGACTTTTTGAAAGGCAGCGTCAATTTCATTTTTGTGGAAATGGCTGCAAAATCAGCAAAAGATGATGATTTGCGATTACAAATAATCAGTAGCATTGGGTTGTATGTTTTACTGGGAAATTCAAAAAAAAAACACTTGATGATATTCATAAGGTGTTTTGGAAGTAGGCTATGGCCAAAAGAACCATTTACAAAACGGACTAAGACATTTATACTGATGGTAGAACAAATGCTAAGGACAATGCTAAATCAGACCGTCCAAGAACGAAATCCAGTGAGGATCAGATGATGTTGATAAACGTCATCCATACAAAAATCAATCGCAATAGATTTTCCAAAAGGGTTCCTCCATATATTTGAGGAATGGTAAGTAAGACAGCAGAGGTGTATAGACCACGATGGACAATACAATACAATATACTCTTGAGATACTGTTATTAAAGTAAATAGGACAAGTAAAAACATTTTGAACATCCAAACAAAACAGAACCTTTTTTGCCTGCTCCGCCTATCCCTGGCTCATGTGACTTTAACAACCGTAACTTTTTTCCCCAAGGACCTATTCATTATAACTTAGGATCTCAATGTATGCATAGTGTAGGTATACTGAGTGAAAATTTCAGCCAGATTGACTGAGATACCAAAATTTTAGAGTACTTTTGCAAGAACTTTATGAACGCCATGTATTGACCATATTAAAACATTTCTATATGTTGCCAAATATAGAAAGTATATAATACCATATATTAAATTATAGCTGTTATATCAGGAGAAGAATGTCCTTTTTAAAAGTGATGTTTAATATACGAAACTTGAATGCATACACAGGGTAATTCTATTTAGAAATTTATAAGTTATAAATAAACTAAAACTTGAATATCAACTTCAATAATTTTAATACTATACGGATTTTATTTTCTTTCAAGATAAGAGTGTATAGCGATACATTTTCTACCATCGCAACAGTTACAAAAGTCTACTATTGCAAATGGACGTTTAGAAATTAGATTCTAATGAATGACTATTTAATTGCAGCAAATCAAGTTGTGTGTACTGAACAGCTGATATCTGGTCGTGTCTACCATATTAATGACTCATCTTTAACTGCATCAAGTGAATATGGTGCGAACTACAGGGCTTCGTATTCAAGACTAGATACATTCCAGTAAGTCAGTAAGGTCGACTTTTTCCTAAAAACCTAGGGCAATAATCCCACTGCTTTGATGGCATTTGGAATCTCCTTTAGCAGATGATTTGTATACCGAGCATTGCATTTGCACTGTTCCACAACTATTTTCTTTGACGGAACGTCAATGTAACAAAATGGATGAACTTCCTGGATACGAGTTTTTTGTTTTCTCGATTTAAACTAGAGTATAAGTCAAGTTGCAGATTATAATTTGGCAGAAAATAAGCTAGAAAATATAGTCTAGTATTAATAAGTGTCTTCTAGTTGGAATTTGTTTCGTAAATGAAGTAAGTTGCAATTCATATATTTAGCCCCTCGCTTTTGTTACATTGACGAAAGTCCGTAACAATGTATTTTACTTTGGCGACTTACGTCAATATAACAAACGCGATGGTCTAAATGCAGGAATTACAGCTACATTTAAAAATCAAATTCCAAACCGATAGCATTTCTACAAGCTAGATTGCATTGTCTTACTTTGTGCCAAAAGATAATCCGCAACATATGAATATACAAGGGTTGTTCAAGAAATTTTGCACAAATATATATAATTGTGAAAATAATTGACCAATCTTATTCATAGTTTATATGTATGTGCCTATATCTTATTCTCTTACACTGTGAAAGTTTCATGTATATACGTCTACTACTTAACATTTTAGGGTTGCTATAGTAACCATGGTGGTGTTGCTATGGTCCATATCATTTTGTAAAAGATAACTAAACATGCTAAACTAACTTACATAAACTGTCAACTTAAATTTGACCATTGCAAAGAAATTCATTGAAATGTGTTCTTTTAGTGATTTCGTTCCTTTTAGATGATTTTATAAAAAAAATTACCATGTGTGAAAAGAATTTAAGCCCAAGACGAAATCACTAGAAGAACACATTTTCAATGAATTTTTTGCAAGGGTCAAGTTGGCATGTCATCAAATCCAATGTGAAAATGTGAAAAGTCCATTCATCAGCATGACAACTGTTTAGCTAGCGACCTTGCATGTGTTATTGATATTTCACAGACTGTTCATTATGTGAATACTCTGTTCGGATTGGCTGGAATCCGACACACCTTGCCTAGCTATAGCTATGTGTGAATACATTACCATATCTTCAGCTTTCGGTCGCATATTATATATTTTATAAACACGCCCCTCGCAGTTTAAGATCTGCCCCTCGTCAAAAATGAAATTCAACATCTGCTGGTTTATGCATGTTGTGTCAGTCAGACCTTATTCTCTCATTATATCCAGAAAGGGGGTTCGTTCTGCGGATAAAGGTTGAAATTCAAGTAGCATGTGAGATCACTTTTGCTCATTTTGCAGAAACGTTTATTGGTTGGGGTATCATTTTAAAATTAGGGCCCACTTTTGGGTTTTATGGGCCCAAAATCTTTTTTCTCTGACATGAAATTTGCCCCCCCCCTTATTAGTTCCCAGATCCACCCCTGAGTAAGGTTCGCTCGTTATTGTTATAGTTGGATGCAGCTTGTGCAAAACTTTTTGAACGACCCTTAATTTTTATTTTAAAGGTCAGCTGGAGGCTGGGTCGCTCCTACTAACGATGACGAACAGTGGATACAGGTTGACCTTGATGAGGTTATGTTAGTGAGAGGAATTGTGACTCAAGGGAGAAATCAAGCGACGCAATGGGTCACATCATACAATATGTTTTATGGCATCAGTATAGGCAACTTACATAGGTATCATATGGTAAGCAAAACTATAGCAAAGCAACCTTTGATTGGATGGGGGAGGAGTAGATAACTTTGAATATGCTTATTTTTGAATTAAGGAAAGGGTCTATAGTAATGCTGATCTTTTCATTGTTCGAATCATTCTGGTCTCAAAGACCTACATTATTATACCGATACTTGTTATCCCACCGTTATGTTGTCCCACCGAACGAAGTCAGAGGGTATTATAGAGAATCTGTCCCTCCGTTCGTTCGTCTGTCCGGGTGATAACTCAAATACTGCTCAAATGATTAAATTGAATTTCAAGGCTTATGCAATATAGGTATAGGACCTCTACCCGAGAAGGAGCGTTTCATATTGGCCACTCAATTCAAAATGGTTCAACTTTTATAATCTGCTTCTTAGGGACAAAGGAACAGTGCTGACTAGTAGATTTTACTGAATTTCAGTATGACGCTAATTTTCGTAAGAATGTAATATTTGACCTCTCAAAAACCCGCTGAAGGATTCATTTCAACTTTTATATTCTGATGCAGAAGAAGAAAGTTGCCCCCATAATTATTTGGAATTACATAGTATTATGGACTTCCCCTTAGTTACCTTACACATCTTAATTTATATAAAGCTATTACACAACATTGAAAATGGCGGGCACTAAGTTGAATTCCTATATGGCCCTAGCCTTATCTGTCACAACGACATCACGTGACCGAATGCCAACTTTGTACTTTTGACAAATCTCCACCTGATACTGATGCAAATAGGGACACAGGAGCTCTGAATCTGAAGCTCTGATTCTAGCTGAATTTCAAAATGGCCGCCATTTTTCGTGAAATAATCTAATTTATATGCTGATGCCTAGACACAAAGGAGGTCTGGCCAAAAATACATTTTCATGATAGCTGCCATTTTCGTAATCAAATTAATCTTTGATAACTCAAATACCGGCGGACGGATTTTGTCTAAACTTCATATGCTGATGCCTAGGAACAAAAATATGTTCCAGATTCAGTGTCTTTTTTTATAAAAACACGTTTTGTTCGATGGGATTCGCTACCGCTGAAGATGCTGTTTTTAGTGTCGGAAATTAGGCGATTCAGAAGTGGTGGCATATTGTTAAAGTCCCCAACTTACTTTACATTTGGACGATGTTCGTATGACAACCAAATGAAATGTCATTAAATATGTCAGATCATTTTTAAATAATTTGTCCGATGGTTTTTAAAATGCTGTTGAATTATTTCGTTTACACTTACTACTATTAAGAAAGCGAATCTATGAGGTTAAATAAATGTCTTTGGTAACATTTTTATTTAGACGCTACAAGGTAATTCAGATCCGGATACTGAGGTGACAAATATGCTAGATCCACCTGTGGTAACCAGATACGTACGTATCAATCCTCAAACCCGCCATCAACACAACACGCTGAGATTTGATGTTATCGGCTGCCCATTGGGTAACGTCTAGAGTAAAATATTAACGTTGGACACGCACTTTAATTATTAGATGTGGTGTGTCACATGATATACTTCCCCTAGAAGTTTGCTACTTGCAAGTTGTATCTTAATCGTAGTCAATATATAGAAAAATATACATTACAATGCAATTGGACAAAATATGACGTGAGGCCAAAAGTAGAGTTAGATGCTGTCTAACATACCCCTACTTTGTTTTAAAAAATAATCATATTATAATTTAAATATTTGCAACATCATATATTTTAACTACACATACTGCAATTAATCGATGTTAATTATTGCATCACATCTGTAACATTACCAGCCTTAATAATATTGATATTGCCTCCATCTGACATAAGATTCCATTTTGTGAACGATCTTTTACAACCCTTTTACACCAGATCGAGCTTTAATCGAAATGGGTCACAGGGTTTATATATTCAGTGGATTTGTAGTTAAGCCTGAAAATGTTGGTGCATGGGTCAACGTCACGTTGGCAAGGCCATACTGGGTAAAAGAAGTCAGTTTGATACAGAATCGTGAAAGTCTCTTGACGCAGGCGAGTAAAGTCAAAATGGATTTCAGCGATGGTTCGTCCAAAGAGGTAATGTCACTTGAAATAAGATTATTTTGTATATTTTCATGAGGTTATTCATAAATAGTTACATATATATATTTTGCATTAATCTAGAAACTAAATTATCATTTCAATATTTCATATAGATTGGTTTGTTCGATATGAAGCCCGATGACCAACATAGCCGGGAAGCAGTGAGATTCGATTCACCCGTCCTTTCCAATTGGGTGAAAATTATATTCGTTGATGCATATCTGAAATCAATGGAATCATTCGGAATAGTGGAACTGGATATAATTGCTGGTAAGTATATCAGTTCATAACACTTTGACTTGTCGTAAAGAGAAAACTGTGAATGATTTTGATTTTGATTTTCTTTTAACTAGAATTTACTAGAAAGATGACGAAACTATTGTTAATAAACTATTGGATTGAAAAAATAATATTAAAAGTTTAAACCTTTAATTAGTTCAAATACCCACATTATCTGTTGTTGGATAGAACATATAGTGCATTACTTCTGGGACAACCCTCGTATATTATCTCCTGCAATTTAGTTTACATGAAACGCATGATTCCCGTTGGTTTTTCAAATTGAGTGATGATATTTCAAAAGTCATAGACAGATAGTCTTACTAGATCTAGTAAGGGAGCCCCCTCCCCTTCTCTCCTTAGCTAGTACACGTTGTATACAGAACATAAATGGAACATATCAAAAGCACATCACATCGAAGGATCCGTACCCATTAGTGTACCTAAAAGGACTTAGAATTTTATTGAAAACGCAATGGAATTCCATAATCATTTTTTATATAATATCAATCTTTAAGAAGTGTATTTTCAACAAATCACAAAAATAATATATAAATGTTTACGGCGACCCCAGAAATGAACAAATATTACATCCCAGTCACATATGTTGTTCGGCGGCCGTGCGTCGACCGCAGATCAATTAAATCAGTGAATTTCTGCGGAGAGCGTAGAAAAACTATGCTCGCCTTGCAGTCTCCATACGGCGTATCCAGTTTTTCACAGGCCGCAGGGTGGCTGTAGAAATTATAACTCGGAGTTAAAATATTTGTTCATTTCTGCGGTCCCTGTAGAAATCAACAGGCCGTTGTCGGACCGCAGAAAAGTCCAACTGTGGCCGCACGTCGGGATTGCCGTTGACTCGCGTCTTCTGTAGGGTTTGATGGGTAATGTACCTTTGGAAACATTTTCTATGTATTCGGTCATATATTTGCTGTAAACACAACACAATACGTATACTGTTTGATGTAAGGTAACTGATACCACAGCAACTTATATTTCACTTGCACTTTTTATTTGATACTATATCCTAACACTACAAACAACATTTATAATTTGTACTGATGTATATAAAATAAAAAGAAGAATTAACGTTAATCAACAGAAATTCAAAACTCGCCGTGCGGCTGCCATAGAAAAAGTGACTGCAAAAGTATCCGACCGCAGAAATTCCACGGCGAGCGTAGAAATATTACTGACCTCAGAAATGATAGACCGCAAGGTCGCCGTAGGAAATGTGACTGGGGTGTTATAACTCCGAGTTATTTCTACGGCTACCCTGCGGCCTGTAAAAATGTAAAAATCTGGATACACCGTACGTCGTAGAAATTCACCGATTGAATTGATCTGCGGTCGACGCACAACCTCCGTACGACAAATGTGACTGGGGTGTTACGGATCCCTTAACAAGTAAACATACATCAGTTATCAATCCCTACACATTATTATTAAACCAATTATTTTTCAAAATAATAAAAACATGCTCTTGCAGATTTTGGCCATTTGACTAACCAGGCTGCTTTGTCTGGCACTGCAACTTCATCATCTGAATTTAACGTTGATATGGCGGTAGAAAATACAATTGACGGGACTCTAGTTAAATACTTCGGCTTTGCTCTTAATACTTGGGAGGACCAATGGGTTTCGATAACGTTAGAAGCAGAGCATTGGGTTCATGTTGTGAAATACGCCAACCGGTGCGAAATGAATAGCGAGCATCGGAGTGTAGTCGTCAAATTCTTCAATGCGATGCCAAGTCTGATATGGGAATCGTCGGTAAGAAAATAATGTAAAATTTAGTTAAACACAAAACATCACCAACAACAGTCTTGTATTTAAGGATTCGGCACGATTTGCATAACACAAATCATCGTTTTTTTGGCTTAAACCTTTATAATACAAAGCAAACCGCTAAAATAAGAGTGAATATACATCAACTACAAGCAGGAAAGCGGGTCATTTTAACATTCACACACAATTTCAACATGTTTTCTGTCCTTTTGAACAAATATGTAAGCAAAGGGAATATACAGAATTTGAAAGGCAATCTTTAAACTGTATTGTTGAAAATAGGTAAAAAAATTCACTGAATCTGAGCAAATAATTTTGCCAAAATTATATATTAGCTAAAATGCTTAATAATGCATGAGTTATACAAATTATTTCAAATGTTAATTTTAAAACATTGTTCTTACAGGTCGGTTCACAAGTTTACATGTACAAAGATATAGAAGACTGTAGAAGTTTCCGATGGACGACAATTCCCTTGACTCATACTCGATTAGTAAAATCGGTTAAATTTACAGTCAAGCAAATGTGGCTTAATGAAGGGACGACTTTAACAACAGGGATGTCGGAGATTCAAATTTTTACAGGTATAAACTCACATCTTATGAAATATATAGCGTACATGATACTTGTTTTGTTTTGTTATTCATATGCCAAAGGAAATGTATCAAACCCGGAAAGACCAAAGGCAAGATATCTAAAGGACTCGTTGCAGATTATATTATCGCCTCCCCATGAAAAATATAGATTCACCTGATATTCCAAAATGAAAATACTACATTTATGTGTATAGTCAATGGTATGACTCTGAAATATGGCGAATCTGTAGCACAATATAGGGAAGCAACATTTGAAGCAATATTAAGGAGATCCATTTATGTCTTGATTTATTTATTATTGCTGAAAATTCAAATTCTTTGTGTTGTACCGATACCACGCGTTATACCTTATACTACATTCGGAGTTTGTGTAGGTTTAACTAAGAAATGCACTGTCAAGTTCAAGTTTAAGATGTTGTATAAAAATATCTAAATACTAGACCAGATCTTTCTGAAACGATTTAAACTTCAGTTTGCACAAATTTCATCAACCTCGTGTTGTACACACCCCTCCATAAGTTTGGCAACCTTAGCTCCCCCATTGAAATACGTGTTAAAGCCTCTTAACTTTACGTTTGAATTTTTATCTACTTAACCTGCAATTAAATAACTTTTAATATTAATGCAAACTTAATTTGGCTTTATTTTCAATTCTTCCAAATTTTCCCAATTTTTTCCCTCAATTACAATAGGTCAAAAATTGATGATCAATTTGATGATTTTTTTTAAAATCGTCATTCCCATGTAAACCAATAGGGAATGGTGGGTTCCGGGAAAATCAGAAATCAGGATATCTTTTCAGTAAAAGATTCAGCAAAAATATTGTGTATAGAAAATTGAATTGTCTAACTATTTTGTATTGTTAGTTTACTTGATGAATACTAAAGTCACCGAGCTTCAAAGTCATTTTTGAAAATCATTTTTCGCCTCCTGTGTTATTTCAATTGGAGAGTTTTTTTGAAAAACAATTTCGACTTTAAAGACCTATAACATTGTTGAACCTGAAGAAACGTGTCAATTTTTTGTTAAATAAAGTTAGCAAATTCAATTGCCTACCTAATTTGTATTTTTTGCAATGACTCGGATGGATGGATATTCTGTGATATGACTTGCGACAAACCTACCATTTCCCGTTGGTTAACATGGGAATGTCGATTTTCAAAAATTCATCAAAATCATCAAATTGTGACCTATTGTAAAAAATGAGGAAAAATTTAGAAAATTTGGAGGTATTGGAAATAAAGTCAAATTACGTTTCCATCAATAGTATTAGTATTTTCATTGCAGGTTAAGTAAATAAAAATTCCAAGGTAAAGAGTCTTTAACACGTAGTTCATTGGGAGAGCTAAGGTTGCCAAACTTAAGGAGGGGGGTGTACCTTTCCCTGCGCGTTCAACTGCCACGCTAAATTTGGTACACACCATGTGGTTAAGTGTTTTGATGAATGAGCCACTTTTAAGGTCAATATTCAGTCATGAAGTGGAGAGTCGTAGATGCTGAATCAGGTGTTATTATCTGTCAAAATTCATTTGTATCCTACGCATCCCTCCATCTTATCCGCATATGTTATTAATTAATGAAATATAATAGTATAATCCTTAGGTTTACAACGTTGTATGATATTTGTGTAAAACTTGTTTTGAAGTATACTATTGTTCTATAGCCGTTTGTGGTGAAAAATATGAAAATGGCTATATCTTTTAATTTAACGTATGACCTGAATCAACTCCAAACTTCATATTTGCACATCTGATGTGATATGCCATTTGCTTCAAATTGTGATTTTTTTTAGTTTGAAGTCCGTTCGGGTCATAGTGTATTTTTTATGATAACCAATGGAAATTAGTGAGCCATCTCACTGGGATATTATAATATCCCATAGTTGAACCAATGGTGTACATCCCCGAGTAAATCAATACAACTTTGCTGAACTAAATGACCCTAACCTCAGCCTATGTGTGTCCAAACGCCTAGATATTTTTCAAAGTATTATTTAACATTATAATCCTTCATTTTACTCCTAAACCATTTCATTTTGACCATGGGGATATTTGCCCCTTATCGCACCTCTTCCTTTTAGAGTATTCACTAATGATGAACATTACATAATTTTAGGACGGAATCTTGTGGGTTCATCGTCACCAATCATGGATGAAACGTTTCCTGGCGAAATTAGATCACTCATCCATACCCTGACAGACATGGAAAAATCACCTTGTTCCTTCGAGGTTCAGAATGTTCCTAGGGGGAGATTTGTTTTCCTTACAAATGCAATTGGTTTGACTCAATTCAAACTTGTGATCACAACAAATGGTGGAGCTGCCGATGATTTTCATGTGTATAGTACGAGTGACACAACAACTGATATTGCATCTGCAAGAATGCTGCGCTGTACCGGACCTGATTACCCGGGTACTGGAGAGTTTGCATGGACATGTACAGCCGATGAAGGAGAAGGTTCTCTATATGCTGCTATGATTGTGGTATCAACCTCATCTATGTACAAGCTATGTGAGATTGAACTACTAGCTGGACCTGATTCTTGAAAGTAACGCCCATTTCCTCCTGTGCTCGTTATCGGCAGCAAGGTTATTAGAGAACTGCGAGTAGGGTGGGGGGGGGTACAGGAGGTGACCAGAAAAACGTTACCCTCTAATGTTGGAATGATTTTCTTAATAATGAAGAAATATTTGAGATTTATGTCGTGTAGATACAGAGGTGTACTTATATTGTATCTATGATTTTTGAGATTTGGAGTAATTTCGTTTTTCGGCCAGGTATGCTCATTTGCGAAATTGTTAAATAAAAGGTTCAAAATGCAATTTTGGAATGGGATTTCTGTCGTAGCAATTATGTAAGTCATTTCTAGACTGCTTTAATCGGACATGTGTTCTAAATGTATTGACATAATGTTGTCAGGTATGATGAATCGAGTTGCTTATTTGGTTTAAAAAAGACAGGTTTTCAAACTTTTATTGTCGAGTGATTTGGAATCAGAGCATGTCTCCGCTGAAAATATGGTATCTCGAATGCCTGGTCACATTTGCTCCGATTCAGCCGGCGCCCGGCCGATTGAGTATCCTGTTCACAATTGTATTCAGTTTTGAACAGAATACTCAATCGGCCGGGCGCCGGCCGATGAGTCGGAGCAAATGTGACCCAGACATAAGGCTGCGTTTTTGCAAAAGCAGTTCATCCAAGCGCACTTAGACCGTTAATTACGCTGTGGAAACCTTGTCCGCTGCTCGTGCGTGTCGCTGGTTTGATGCTGGTGAACTACATTTAGTTTGATTGCAATAAACCGTGATGTCTTTCATAATAATTGTTTTAGTGTTAGTGCGCCTGAATGAGCTTTCTTTGTTGAAAACACATGGGCATTCAATGAGAACTGCAGGGATTGTTCTATTAAGTGAAACATGGAGAAGAACCTCATTAAAACATTACGCAATTTACTAGCAACACGGGCATACAAAATACAGTGCTAGTCATTAGTGCTATGTTAGTACACCAATGTTTCATGAAATGAACAATCTTCAAAAAATAATTCCTTCATTGATGAATGGAAATTATAAAGGGTATGAGTGTACCTCTTATAATTTCTCAAAAGCAATAAGATAGATAACTTAGTCTTGCTCAAAGACTGTATCCCCCCCCGTTACCTTCACTCTCTTTACCTGCAATATACAAAGAGAAGGATAAAGGGGGGGGGTACAGGGTCTTTTAAGCAAGACTATAGATAACTTAGCAATTCTTTCAATGATGTCACCTAAAAATATGTAAATTTGTTGAATGAGCAAAATGAGCAAGTTGCAGTTTGTTATGATGTATTCAATACTGGTGTATCAAAATAGGATAAGTGGTTTACTTATTTACTGATATTTAATGTCTGAGTCCAGCAGTGATTTGACTAGATATAGGTTCTAGTATTAGATGTGTGATTTATCATTAAATATTTATGACTCAACAATACTAATTTTCATTTTAGCAACGACTCAGAATTGTGAATCAATCAAAAATATAACACTTGTTTTTTACTGAAACGCTGTACTTGTGGCTTATTATAACTTTTGGAACTTGAGCTAGAAACCTTGTTTAATCAGCATCAAGTATTGTACCAATACTTTTATATAATGTTATATTTATTTCAATATTATAATAACTGTATATTTATGACTATGTATACAGAGACGAGAAGTGAAAAGATCTTAAGTATTCTACGAAACGATGTTATGATTCAATGGTATCATATTATTGAATATAAAAAACATTTTCGAGGTTAAATAAAGAAATGAATCAAATAAAAATATCTAAAATAAAAACTGCCAAGGATTACTTTAGCCAAGAATTTCATCTAAATAGTAATTAGATAAAATACAGACAATACACGTGAACTGCCCCGAGAACTATTGTTGGATATATTTTTTGTTAAAAATTAAAAAATTTACACATCTTTGAAAAATATAAATATACGTTTCTCTATATTGTTTTAGAAAACACATCATACACTTCTTTTGTTCTTGTTATCATACACTCCCCTCCATAAGTTTGGCAACCTTTTTTCCCCCATTGAACTACGTGTTAAAGCCTCTTTACCTTTGAATTTTTATTTACTTAACCTGCGATGAAAATACTTATACTATTGATGGAAACGTAATTTGACTTTAATTCCAATACCTCCAAATTTTCTCAATTTTTTTCCTCAATTACAATATGTCGAAAATTGATGATAAATTTGATGAAATTTTGAAAATCGACATTCCCATGTTAACCAATGGGAAATGGTAGGTCTGCCGCAAGCCATATGACAGAATATCCATCTATCCGAGTCCTTGCAAAAAATACGAGTTAGGCAGGCAATTGAATTTGCTAACTTTATTTAACAAAAAATTGATATGTTTCTTCAGGTTCAACAAAGTTAAAGGGCTTTAAAGTCAAAATTGTTTTTCAAAAAAACTCTCCCATTGAAATAACACAGGAGGCGAAAAATTATTTTCAAAAATGACTTTGAAGCGCTGTAACTTTAATATTCATCAAATAAACTAAACACTTAGTGTTCAAAAAAGTTAGACAATTCAATTTTCTATATGAAAATATTTTTTGCTGAATCTTTTACTGAAAAGATATCCTGATTTCTGATTTGCCCCGAACCCTCCATTTCCCATTGGATTACATGGGAATGACGATTTTCAAAATTTCATCAAATTTATCATCAATTTTCGACCTATTGTAATTGAAGAAAAAAATTGAGAAAATTTGGAGGTATTAGAATTAAAGTCAAATTACGTTTTCATCAATATTATAAGTTATTTCATCACCGGTTAAATAAATAAAAATTCAAACGTAAAGAGGCTTTAACACGCAGTTCAATGGGGGAAAAAGGTTGCCAAACTTATGGAGGGGAGTGTATGTTCGAAATATATATATAGTTCTCGTCCTAAACATTTCGGATTGATACTTGATCAACACTTGAGAGGGCACATAAAGTGCTAGTTTAAAAAGATTGATGGGCCGGTGAGCTTTATAGTTCAAGTTAAAATTAATATTAAGCACTAGAATATTTTCAAATCATTCGTGCTGCATCCATTTTGAGTAGTGTGATACTGTCCTCTCGTGTGCAAGTGCTACGTGTTTACAACTTTTACATTATACTACGAATCAGCAGATGCAGTATGCGTCTCTGAAGGAACTCATGCTTCAAGCATGACACAGGTTTTGAATGCATAAGAATAGGAGTAAGCCGGAGTCTGGGAAACCAAACGTTTTTTGACTTTGTTTGGTTATGAATCCCACACAATATGATGTAAAAATTAGCATCATACCTCTGTTAGTTGCAAAGTTATTGTGATCAAAAGAAATGGTCAATGTTTCCAATGATGAGAACATCTTCCAGTGAAATCGCAACATAACCCTATATGGTCTTAAAATGTCAATATCTTCATTAATCATGGACCAATTCTAATAAAATATGGCTCAAAACACTGAATATTAGACTTCCTTTTGATTTTTGTAAGATTTTATATGAAGGGCTTCTCAGATTTTTGGTCACAAGGGGTAACTTTGCCCCTCTCTACCCGTTTGTGGAGGTAATATTGTAAGGTTTTTAGCTAACATTTAGCTATATGTGCTTATGTATATATATATATTACTATGTATATTTCTTTCTCTTCTATTAACAGGATCTTAAGAGGTTCTGGACAAATCATTTGATTCTGGACTTGACATTTTTTTTTTCCAACGAAATCACATCCAAGGGTTGAATTTTTATTGGATATTTAGAGAGCGAGTCCTGTATTGATTTCAATAAAAAGGTTAAAATAGAACGCTATTTGAGAGTTAATCTTATACTTTCATTACATTGATAAATTAAGGCAAATTCTGAAAGATTTTAAAGTGCATTTTTTATGAAATATTATCCAAGTATTTAGATGAAACGGTCTTATTTAAATACAAATCATAACATGATGATATTTTTTCATAAAATATTTCTTCAAGAAATTCAATTGAAGGCTCAAGATAAAACGAGCTAATTTAGGTGAAAACCCTTACATGATGATGTGTTTTCATGACTTCTTTCATAAAATTCCATCAAGGGGTGAAAATAAAATGATCGAATTTAAGTGATTTAAGGATCACGAGGATAGGTTTTCTTGGATATTTTCTATGAAATCCCATCCAGTGGTCAAGGTAAAATTTTTATTTGGTATATTTGGTCACGTGTTCGAACCCATAGAACCATATAGGAACGTCATTTTGAATGTTACGTGATAAATCCATATAAGGCTTTTAGAACAATGTGGGGAAAGATGAGGGGAAACCCCTGACACCTGTTCACGATTTTATCCGAACGTTCATCGGATCATTTCGGTTTTTATGCACTTCATTATTTTACCGAAGTTTGCCGATTCGATTCGTCGTATTTCGGAATATTGGGGACAATTTTATACTCCATTGGGAGTATTTTTAATCTACTTCTTATTACGAAGATTCCCGAACCTTGTTCGGATTAATCCGGATTTTCTGACCTACTTCATCTACCGAGATTTAACGAGTTTACATTCGGCTCATTTCGGAATCCTGGTGACAATTTTATACTCCATTGGAGTATTTTTGATCTACTTCTCTGGATTTTTGATCTACTTCTTATGACGAAGATTCCCGAATCAGTTCGGATTAATCCGGATTTTCTGACCTACTTTATCTACCGAGATTTAACGAGTTAACATTCGTCTCATTTCGGAATCCTGGTGACAATTTTATACTCCATTGGAGTATTTTTGATCTACTTTTTCTGGATTTTGCCCTACTTATGATAAGTTGACAGCAAGCAAATCAAAAAGTTCGCCATGAACGGGTTTCGATCGACTAACCTAGAGAGTGGAAGCTAAACACGCTAGCCATGAGGCTAACGTTCACCTGTGTGAGATGACAAAAGTATCATATATTTATACCGAGCGTCAATTTAGAATGATCTTCGCTTTTGACTCCACTTAGATACAACTCGTCAGTTGTATCCAGAATAGGTGAACGCCTATGGTGTTAGTGAATAACCAAATCCCAGGCGAGTGGTTCGTATCCCACCGTGATATGTTATTTTTGCTTTATTAATACGACAGAAAGGAGCAAGGTGTAGGTTTGAAAACAAGACGTACGTTTATTTCAATACAGTTTTAGAAACATTAACCTCTGATAATTGAAGGATTTCCACTTCTGAAGCGCGACTAGATCTAAGAAGTTCATTAATCAAGACAGTGTAAACCTTTTAGATATATGTTAGACAATGTACACGCCCCGTGTGGAATCAACTAAATGTTACATTTTGGATTTCATTGAGATCCTGTCATAGTCCTAAAATTTATTTTTCTGGAACATCATTTTTTCAACACTGATACAAATTTCCCTGACACTTCCATGACATGTCTACAGTTTCAAAATTCCCGGACTCTTTGGCCCTTTTTGACCTTATTTTGAAATTCTCTGACATTTCAGGCACTTGGAAAATTAAATCAAAACCCTGACATTTCCAGGTGTGTACGAACGCTGGAATTATTCTTAAAATATCCTTCAAACAAAAGGGGAAAATGCTATGCACAAATACTCTAATTTAGTTTGTATTGTAATGCGTTGTATTACATTGCATTGCATTGTATTGTGTATTTATTTGAGTGTCCGTTGAAGGTAAAGAAGGCATTTAAAAGTTATTTGTGAAACTTAATAAACTTAAT